TTAAAACCATTGTAAAAAAAGGACAAACCGTAATTATTTACTAGTAGAGAGTAGGGTATGTCCACAAAATAGAATAGCCAGTAGGATGTTTTTGTGAATAGTCAGTCATTACCCGAAAGTCCAAATCAATGAAAATGTTTGCAGCAATAGCAAGGCATTGTTTCTAGATGCAAGAAAATAAAATTTTTTTCATTCGAAAAATTACAAGTAGGACATAATTTCGTATACAGTATTATTATCCAGATGATGATTGCTGATCTTAACTAAATTCATAGGTTGTTGATAGCTTGGGGGTCATCTTATAGGACAGATATATGCTTAAACTATAAAACTTTGACGAAAATTTATACCTCGTCTTATCTGAAGGTCATCTTATCTGCGGAAATATATGGTAATTAAATTATATTTATTTTTCTTTGTTTTTTATGAATATTAGTGTAATGAATAGTTTGTAGCAGTTTTGAAAATCATAAAATTAACTAATTAGAACTACAATGGTGCCTCATACTTCAAAATTTAATTCATTCCAGGAGGCTGTTTGAATTCTAAATTGTTCAAAGTTCAAATCAGTTTTTTCTCATTAGAAATAATAAGTGGATTAATCCATTCCAGATGCTAAACAATACCCATTTTGATAAACTTAAAACAGCAAATACACAGTAATTTAAGGTAAAAATAATAATTAAATGCACTAATAAAAAATTAAAACATGAAACCAATGAATAAAATATGTAAATAATGTATAATAAAATGAAAATTTTAGTTACTGATTGCATACCATTGACTTTGGCATTTTAAACGTGGTTATCATATTTTTCTGTTACATATGTATCACTTTTGTGCTTTGCAGTAGTTCTTTTTTCATCTCAATCATAATAGCCTTCCTCTTAGGCTTTGTTCCTTTCACAGTTCTTGGATGCCAAAGGTTATATTGTATTGAGAAGAAAATTTTCATATTTTTAACAGTTATCATTAGTTAATATAGATGTGTAATTTAATTATAACAGTTGTGAAATTTAACACATTATTGCTAATGTGAGATTGTATTCTTTGTTTAGAAACTTATTTTTAACTTTTTATTTCACATTTTGTTTGAATAAAATGCAGTTGAATGCCTTCAGATAAAAAGCATATTAGGTATATTATGCTTTATGAGTTTCAGAAAGGATATAATGTTGTACAAACAGTAAAAAAGTTTATAATGTGTATGAGGAAGATGCGTCTAAACTTTGAATATGTCAAATGTGATGTAAAAAGTTCCGATCAGAAAATTTTGAACTAAAGTATACAAAATGTAAGCGGTGCCCAAAAGCTGTTGACAGGAAAAAATTATTAAAAATTGACAAATAATACAATATATATAACCAAAGACCAAAAATAAAGCAAAAGAAAACACTGAAAACATGAGGATAACCAAGAGCAAGAGATGACTTGGCATAACAAATTGCATTTATACTTCAAACAATTTTCACTGCACACACAGTTTGAGCTTTGAAACATCATTCAAACTCCAAAGCAAATTTTTGCCAAATTTAGCATTAAGTTAGTCATTTGAAGTACAAAGTACTACTGTATATGATTTTTAATCATGGTGGAGACAATGAATAAAAATATCAATACTTAAAAAGTTGAGATATTTAAATTTTCCTGTTGTATATCCAGCTTTTGTAATTGCCAAAATTACACTTGATAACTCTTTGACTTCCTATTGTTGTTAGGTGGTATTGGATAGATAAGGTATTGGAAATTTTATTTCTATATCTCTACAATATTTGAAAAGAAAAGCCAAAAATTTTTTGATATCTGTTAGCTAGGATTCAGTTTTAGTTTTAACTTGTCTTTTTAATTTTCTTAATTATATCCTCCCTATTAGGCTCCACCCAACTTTTTTAGATTTTTGTGCAATGATAGGAATTCTTATGATCTATTAGAAAAGTCAGGAATATATAAAATTCTTCTCAAAAACTCCTTGAATATTAGCACTTACTATATTGAAGCTACTTCAAGGATACTTGCTTATCAAATAGCAGAACATGAAATGTAAGTGTTGTGTTTTGCTGATAGAGTGAAAATAGGAAAATGCTAAAGCTAATATTACTAGAGAAGAATTATAGTAATTTGGGAGAAATTGTAATAATTCATTTATAACACAACTACTCACAACTGGGTAAATTTGATAAAATCAGCAACAGAAACCAAAAATCAGCAGAAAATAGAGCTAACATTTTTGCCTGTATTAAAAGGGTATCCTCAGGCTAAATGACCCCATAGCTGTTAAAACAACTGGGAATGCCATACAAGTGTCAAGAGGCGAGGTGACTACAGGTAAGAAAGAGAGAGGGAGGGGAGAGGATAGTAAGTTTACAGTTTATAGAACAACTTCCATGCAGGAGGAAGGAATCTACATCTGAAAAGTTAATGGCAGTATTTTTTCAGATGACCTTGTAAATTTCTATCTGCTCTAAATATCTGACCTGTTGTTTCTGCATGAACTATATATGAGGCATGCAAGGTTGAAATGCTTGTCTATGTCTGGGCCAGAGGCAAAGGTAGCTAATGTTGATCCACCCTTTCAGGATGGAATTCTGATGCTTTTTGAGGTGGGTGTTTAAAGGGCACGTTGTAGCACCTATGTATTTCAAGTTGTGGTTGGTTCTGTGATCAGTTACAGGGATAGTGTATATGAAGATGCCCATTTAATATGGGTTAAAACATTAGCTTTATTACTTTTTCTACTGGTTTTTGGTTTATGATTTTATAATTCATTTAAATACAAAAATTATTATAAAAGTATTTATTTTTAAACATTTGCATTATAGTGAATTATAAATATGTAAAACATTTTTCTTTTAATTAAATACATTTGTACTTTTAAAAATTTAATTGACATACAATAGACAAAAATTATGAAATTTACATTTTCAATAATGAAAAAAGTTTAATGAGATGAATGAATTTTCTGTTGAAAGTAGTTAGTTTGGTAAAATTCATTTCTATATTTGTAATTTTAGTGGTAGATGAGATTCCATAGTTTTTTTTTTTTTATTTTGAAGTTCACAAATACAGAAAATTAAACATAAAGATACAAACTAGGAATGGACAGAAGATATTTTGGAGCTTTTTCTGACAAAATTGGGTATTCTTTATTAATGTGTTGCCAAAACAGCATTAGTCTATTCTGGTCATATTTAATTTTGCAAAGGCAATCTGACACCAGTTCTAATAGTTGTTGTGCTGACTATGAATGATTTTTTTTGTATTGTATCAACACTGATATTAAATAGATTGCAATTGTGCCATCGCAACCAGATATGCTCTTACAGAGTTCAGTTGATATATACTGGGAGATACATTTTATTTAAAAATTGCTTTAGGTGTTTTTAATTATTGAAAACTTAAGTGCAAAATAAACTTGCACTTATCTTCAACTATGTGGCTACAAAAATATAACAGTAAAAAAAGATAATTGAAATTTGAAGGGTACAGGTCATTTTTTAAAGACCTTTCGTATACTTCTTGTGGATATGCTTACCACATTTTGGGAAACACTTCTGTACATAATGATGTAGAATATATACCATATTTTTGCAGAATGACTGGAATGCCAGTCTATCTGCTGAGACCATAAAATTAGATATTTCCATTTGGTAAAAACTGGCATGCCGGTTTATCCTGGGAGAATGCTGGCAAGCTGGATTAAGTGAAGTTATACATCTTTCTCTAGAGAGCACATTAAAAAAATGAATGTGTTATGTCATGTAAAAACAAATGAGTTATTATTCTAAAACTATGAAACTGCCAGCATTACATCAAAAACTATGATTATACTAAATTAAAAAATTGCCAGGATGAATTCACATTTAGAAAAAATATATTTCTTTCTGGACTATACATAAAAATGAGTCAAAATCCTTTTGTCCTTTCACACGCTTTGCAGCGGCTATAACAAATCTATGGCAAAACTGACCTTCCGTCAAATGTAAATAAGTTAAAGAGTCCTCTAGCAGTGGCTAACGCAATCATAAAATTAATAATTACATAAAAAAATTGCCAGGACAAATTCACATTTAGGAAAAAATATTTATTCTGCAATTTTTGGCAATTTTTTAATGTAATTATTAATTTTATGATTGTGTTATCCTTCACTAGAGGACTTTTTAACTTATTTACATTTGACAGCGGACATGTAGCCTAAAATAAAAGGTCAGTTTCACCGTAGATTTGTTATTGCCTCTGCAAAACATGTGAAAGGACAAGGATTTGGACTCATTTGTATGTGTAGTCCAGAAAGAAATAGATATTTTTTAAATATTATGATTATAACTTTAATTTCTTCATTTTGTCTTCTTTCTAAAGACCTAAATTACTCTGAAATTCTGAAAATGCTTTTTTGTATGTATTTTATTGTTATTTGATTCAAAAACACAAAAATGAACATTTTAAATTTAAGAGACTCAGTGTAAATTATCTCAGCTTATAACTGATTAACACATTGGCTTTATGTGAAATTTGAGGAAGATGTTATTTTTAAGATTGAGTTAGATGGTCAATGTAGCCCACACTACTATTACTACTACTTAATGTCAATAAGATATTAATTATTTTGTTGTCTTGTAAGTGCAAAACTCTCTTCCTGATTTTAAGTCTGTCAAATTACAATGTTGTTATTTATTGTACTGGGAAGAATCTTTTCTTTAACGTTTAATTAACAACAAGTTTTGTTAGATCTGATTAATTTTATATTTTAGTCAGTTTATCTGCATGCCAGAAACCCGGGTTACCAGCATGCTGGTCTTCCGTTTATATGCGGCATGCCATCATTCCACGAAAATACAGAAAAATAAATGCATTTTTTATCTAAAAAAATGGGAATTTTTGTAAATTGTCAATCTGTATAATGCATTATAATAATGTAAATAGCTAAATAATATACATTAAAATAACTATGTATTAAAGAATATGATAATTATTTTTTTTATTTATTTAGTTTCATTTTTTAGGTTTAGAGTCAATTGAAAGGTCAAAATGAGTCGATTTTTTGCTACGGGATCGGAATCTGAGTCCGAATCATCATCATCTGAAGAAGAACAGGCACAGTCAAAGACAACAGGAATAACTTCGTAAGTTAAATATCTTTTTCTAAAAACATAAAACATACTTAAACTGCTTTAACAAAAATACCATTTGGACTTGGTACATATTTAAAACAAGAAAAATGATAAATTCAGAAAACCAAAACAAATCTTCTACTCAAAATTTATTTGATATATTGAGAATATCTCAAATAAATCAGTATTTATTTGAGATATTCATAACAAAAATTTATAAAATTAAATAAATTTTTTGGAAGTGAAATTCTATGATTATAATAAATGTGAAAAAATAAACAATAATCATTTATAATAATTTTATTTTCAGCACATTTACATTTAGTGATGAAGAAGAAGAAACTAAGAGAGTTGTACGAAGTGCAAGGGAAAAGAGGTAAGAATTAATTTTATTTGAAGTTATATTTAAATTCACAGATTTGTAGTTTTCTGGGTTATTATTGATAACATTTAAAAAAATTTCAGATATGAAGAATTGGTGGATATTATTAAGCAAGTAAAAAATCATAAGAAAATTAAAGATATGAGCAAGCTGCTGACAAGTAAGAGAAATTAATTTATAGTAAATATTTGAATTTATTGATAAGAATAGATAATTGACATTTAATTTAACTTTATTTTAGGTTTTGAAAATTTAAGTCGCGCTTTCATGAAAGCTAAACCAGTTATAGATAAAGAAGAAGGTGGAATGACTCCAAAGTTTTACATTCGTTGCCTTGTGGAATTAGAAGATTTTATTAACAATGTATGCATTTTTAGTTATTATCATTTTAAAGGAGAACATTTATTGATAAAATTTGAAGGGCCAATTCTCTAGTCACATGAAGAATAAAAAAAATACAAATAATTTCACTTTTGTTAAGGTTTTTAATAATGTTGAGTGATGTATAGCCATTTTTTAAAATCTGATAATGGATATTGTATTGTCTGATTACAGATTACTACTCTAAGCCAGGTCCAGATTTCTTAATAGGCATAATAGGCTTGGGCTTAGAGTGGCAGATTTTGAGGAGTGACAAAATTGGCAGGCTACAAAGTAGTATAAGAATTGCAAGAAAAAACATTTCAAATATTATAAAATTTATTAAGTTGTCTACATAAATAAATAATGATAAAAATTTAAATGATTTAATTATATAAATCAGTAGCTTTGACCATTTATAATATAAACATATGCCAATATACAGGATGCACATTACAAAAATTTTAATACATAGAAGTACCACATAAGTGTCTTCTTTATTTCATGATGTCCTTTACACACTACACTTTGGGAATTAGCCAGTCCTTACAGTTGAGTCAACCTTTCTTTATAGGCTGCTTTCCCCACCTCAATATGTAAAAATGGCTGTAAAATATTCCCAAGCTTTGGCACAATCATGTGAAATTAATTTACAATTAAACATTAATTTAAATAATTACTTAAAAATGCCAGAACGATAAATATTACATTACAAAAATTCCAATGCATAGAAGTACCACATAAGTGTCTTCTTTATTTTTTTTATCTCATGACATCCTTTACACACTCCGAGAACAAACAGTCCTTAAGGTGGAGTAGACCTTTCATATAAAATTAATTTACAATAAATTTTATACAAAATTGTGCCAAAGCTTGGGAATATTTTACAACCACTTTTACATATTGAGGTGGGGAAAGCAGCCTATAAAGAAAAGTTGACTCTGCTATAAGGATTGTTTGTTTCTGAAGTGTGTAAAGAACATCATGAAATAAAGAAGACACTTATATGGTACTTCTATGCATTGACATTTTTGTAATGTAATGTTTATTGTCCTGGCAGTTTTAATCAGAACTACTGTTTAATAAAATGCATCATTTTCATACTTAAAAAAGTTTACTAAATTTGATAATTTCATTAACTAATCATCATACATAATCATATTTAATTTCACTTTCATCTAATGTAATGTAATGTAATTAAAGTTCAAGTTAGTGTTAAAAGCATTTATATTTAGTCTATATCAGAAAAAGTAGCATTATTGAAATCTCTAGTCTGCTTGCAGTGGAGAAAGAGTGAAATCCAGCTCTGCTTTAAATATTTAATTACTCATTGAAAATTTATATTTTTCTAATGTAATAATATTTAACCAAATGTAGTAAATAGTTCTAAAATATAAAAAAATAAAATTATTGAGAAAAAAAAAAAGTAGTTTACACTATTTCAATATCAGTTTATTTATTTTTTATATTCCAAACTAATTTTAAAACAATTTGAAAAAGTTAAAATCAAACTTAGTTTGTATGTTAATGAAACAATACAGTAGAGTGTTGTTTATCTGAAACGTCAGTTATCCGAAAGAATTCCAGTTGGCAAATTTAAATTTTTGCTAGTGCTGTGGTGCTGCAATCTTTAGCTATGTCTTAGGCTACTCCAATATTTTTTATGTTTGTGTATGTGTTTTAGCTGGCAGCACTGGCACTTTTGTGTGGTGTTTTTCCGAGGGCTGTGTGTCGTGCTGAATTGAATGTTTTTGATACTAGATTAACTTCTAAAGTATAATTTTTTTTTGTTTTTATATTTTTCAATAAATTTATTTTGTTTATAAAAGATAAAGAAATAATTTTTAACAATACAATAGCCACGATTATTATTTTAAAAAGTTTACATTAGGCTTAACATCAACGAAAATTGAACACGAAGCAACATGCAACAGAGAAAAATTTCAACATGGGATGGGTTAATATATTTTTTTGTACATAATCAGTTATCCAAAAAATAAGTTATCCAAACAACCCCAGTCCCCAATTGATTCGGATAAACGATGCTCTACTGTACCTTCATTACCTTAAATGATTTATTAAAGAAGCATATAAATCTACAATCTCTACAGTAAAATTTGAACAATAAAAATTTTTAAGACATGAGAGAGAGAGACTGAATCTAAATTAAATCAGAAAAATGAGTCTGTTTTGATTTAGTTTAGACTTTTATAAATGTTTATTGTAATATGACAAGATTCACCAAACATATTACCAATAAGATAACTAATACACACAAAATGCACTAATATTCTAAAAAAGTGTAAAGTTATTAAGAAAAAAAATTTTAAACATTCTACTGTAAATAATAACAACTAATTAAAGTCAACAAATCAAATTTATAATCAATTTTTTGATTATAGCACATAGTTTAATTTTAGATTATGCCATGTGTTATCCTGCCATTATACATGGAATACCACATATGCATTATATTAATTTTAGATTTATAGCCTTGTAAGTACAGTAAACCCACTAACACAAACTAATAGNTTAAAGATAGTACTGATCGAATTCGTACTCAAGCAATGCTTTGTCATATTTATCATCATGCTCTGCATGATAATTGGTTTGAAGCAAGAGATTTAATGTTGATGTCTCATCTGCAAGAAAATATCCAACATTCTGATGTTCCTACTCAGGTAAGTCATTTAAAATTATGAATTTATTCATATTTTTAAGTAGTTGTGAAAGTGTTGAACAAGGATAAACCTTCAAACTATGAAGTTAACAGTAAAACAGTTTTTTAACAATTTTAAACTATTCCCAAATTCATAATTTTTTAACTTAGCACAAAGAAATTTTATGACTTCATGAATTTATAATTTATTTTGAAAAGTTTAAAGCTCTGGAAAATATTCCACTTCCTCTGTTAAATTCTGTTTTTCAAGTTCCCTAATATATTGGCAGTGGTGAGGGATGACTATAGTCATCAAATTCTTTTGGGGGTATAACCAAAAACTAGCCTAAAATTACCACGAGAAAAAATTCACATAAAAATGAATTATGTAACAATAAAAAAACTTTTCTTTACTAGACATAATTGTTTACAAAATCTTTTTCTGAAACAGTAATGAGAAAAAAACACATGGAAAAATACTTTAAAAATTTCCCACGTTTATTCTCCACTACTGGGAGTAGAACCATACCCGACTAGTCCACTGTTGAAAGTTTATTACAGAAATTGCTTTTAGCCCTAGGTATAATTAAATTAATTAAAATATCTGCCTCATGGTTATAGATATTTTAATTAACAAAATATCTTCATTAACAATGTTCAGAAAAATTATTGTGGGTGCAACAACTTAATGCCTTAAAGTAAAGCTCAAAGCCTTTTTCTGTGATAATTCTTATTTTTTTGATTTATTATCATGATGACATTGCTTCATCCAAAACTTCGTGCAGTTGTAGTCTGTATAATGTGCACTTTATTCGCATGTTGAGTCTTACTGTCAAATCTGGTTCCAGTATTCTTAGGCCACAACTTTCAAAATTTTACTTTATTTAGATGTTTTCTCTGAGCTTTATTTTTCAATCAGATTCCACCAGCTTTTTTTTTTATTTTTAATGGAATTTTGATTTTATAGATTTTATTTATTCACTTCGATATTTTTCTTAATTATTCTTAAACAATAATTGAATTTTTGAGATATTTAAATTTTGAAATTAAATAAAAAAAAATCATTCTTTATTTTAATAGGATCTGATGATGAAATTCAGGATGAAGACTTCATTAAAAAACCAATTATAAAGGAGGAGAAAGAAGAATTAAAATCTAAATTTATTAAAGGATCAGATGATGAGGTGGTTAATTAATGTAGTTCTAATTTATGCTTCTAATTCAGTTTATTTAAATTGTTTATGAATACCATGTTTTTTGATTCTAATGCATTATTAAATCTGCTTTTTGAGATGTCAAAACCTGAAAAAATTTGTTTGCAAATGTAATGCATGCCTCATTTCATTGAATATGCAGACACAAAAAGTTGGCATTTAAACAGTAATAATTGCATTTCTTGAAAATAGTTTTATTTTCAGGTTTACAGTGCTTCACAATGTTCACATTTTTGAATATATTCATTTATTCAAAATCATTATATCAATACATTATCAATACCATTATCAGGTACAGAGGATCTGTGGACCAATATAAAATTACAGTCAAAATTACTGTATGATACACATCTTAACAGTGGAATTTCATGTTCATAAGCACGAGTATTAAATTTACCAGATACATAGAATTGTACTGAAATATCTATATACATGTTCTTCTGCATAGTGGATAACTCTCTACTTAGATACTGCTTTATAGATTTGTCTGCTGAACATTGTTCATTTGGCTTGCTGTAATTCACCAAGTAATTCCGAAACCAAAATTAAAACTGAAGCAATAGGAGGGACATATACCATGTCTATATTGGCAAATAGATCTAATCCATACAAATTACCTAGAAAAGTGAAGAACAAACAATGCAAATGAGGCTGCATCAAGTTGACTTTGTGCCTGATTCTAATGTGACCCCAATTTTTGAGACCAGAATAGTTCAAAAAAGTTATTCATTAGAATCAAGAAATCATCATACAACATACCATATGCTATGCTAACTAATCATAAAATTTTTGTTTTTCCATTCTAACTGAAATTTTTATAATTATATGAAAGAAAATACAAATATTATTTGATATGATCATTTGTGTGAATTACATTTGCCATAAACTCTTGATATATTGCAAATGTAATTCACAATTTTAGATATTTGTATTGTGATATCAAATTTAATTAATTGATATATTTAGGATCATTTGATGGTACAGATGATTTTTATAAATTTTATATTTTGATGATTTACATATATTTTCAATTAGATGGAGAAATCACTGTTTCAAAAATTTTATATTATTATCGTGAATAATCAAATGAGAAAAGCAATGGAAAATTATTTGGCCACAGATTTGTTAGAGTGAGACCTAATCTGTATATTCTTTAGGATTCTTTGCTTATGTCAATTGCTTCTCCTTTATGATAACTAATAACAGGAATTCTGCATGCAGATTTAATTAAATTGCATTCCTAGATATGCACCTTTGCATATGAAAATTATTCTTCCTAAAAATTTACACTTTTTGTTTTACATATTTTTATTTTTTTATTTTTACCAAAAACTTCAATTTAATACATAGAATTTTTTTCTATATGAAGGCAAAATCTTTATCCACATTATTCCAAATACAGTAGTTTTGCCAAATCACTACCATCTTTTCAATGTTATCAAATGTTATGTTATGGTGTTTACACATCATAAAATCATGATACACTGAAAATGATCATTTGCTCTTAATGGAAGTGAACAGTGCATATTTAGTCTTAATATGGAAGTTCAGTTCAATTACTTATCAAGTGTTTTTAGATTTGTATTCTTAGAGACAGTAGAGAACAGCTTCTCTTTTACAAATCCATTTAGAGAGTTTAAAGCTCTGGAAAATATTCCACTTCCTCTGTTAAATTCTGTTTTTCAAGTTCCCTAATATATCCAATAAGGCATTTGAATGAGTAGACTGGGTACAGACAGTTTATCTTCTAGATCTGTACATGAAATCAAATCCTCAGCTTATAAAACTGCAGTTGAATTATCCTTGATCTTTCCAATGAATTTTTTAATTTTAACAAAATTTTTGAAAAGAAATGCTACAGCCTTTAGCTATGTATCCTATCTTATTATAACTAGAGTAGGTGACAAAGATATGCTAGTAACTTCTTTGTAATGCTGTACTTGAGCAGGAGTTTTTGTAAGGATTTTTTTCTTGCTTCAGGGATAAAGGAATTGGCTATCTGATATTCTTCTTGCACTTTCTCATGCACTTGATATAATGAATATGTTAAGCAGGTCACATGCTTTTAAATCTGGATAAAGGAGCATCAATTGAGACATTATGTTTAGCAATTATGATGCTTGTTCTGACAGGATGAGCCACAATCTTTCATAATTAATTGTTCCATTCCACAGTCTTGAATATGCATCATTAACTGCTTGCATTATTGTAGTGTTGTTTATGGATTCCAGATGGTACATTTTAAACATCATAAACTTTAAAGGTTCTCCATTTAAAGGAGCCACCATTATCTGAATACATATCTCTTGAGAGAATTGATAGTTTCATCTGCAGCAAACACAGTTTTCCACAAAATCCACAGTTTTCTTTTTTGTTTTTAACTTAGTTGCATTGTAGTTTTTGTCAATGTACATTTCCATAATGTGTTTTCATCTGGAATTTTTTTGTCAGTTATTTTTTCAAAAGAATTTTTAAGAGATGTGTGGTTTAATTTCCATAAAGGAATTTAAGCTTCTAACAAGGTTGTAGAAAGGTCACAATGAAATAAAAAAGTTGCAGTATTGAGTGTTTTGTTTATGCATAAATTTTCCTCTTGCTGGCTCTGTTCTTGAGTTTTAAGTTCCATATTATTTTTATGATCTCCACTTGTTGCAATAGCTACATATTAAAATGGTTCCATCTATATATAAACCTTCTCCGACAAATTGTTTAGTTAAATTTTGAAGCTTTGATTTCTTTAGTTGAGTGCAGTTAGAGAATGGTGTAAATATGGTAATGCTGGCCAAAAATTATTGAAAATTGGTTCTGAAGATTTCTTTAGTATTCCTGCAATTTCATTTTATATATCTAGATTTTACAACTAAACAACAATCACCATAGTAGGAAGCACATTGAACGAGAGAAACCTTGTAGTATTGCCATGAAAGGTTTTTCTCAATCTACAGGAATTTTGGATGTTAGTGAATTTAGAATTAGAATTTTTTTTATTAATTACTAATAAAGCTTAATAAGTATCAAATTTTTACTAATAAGTAAATTATTGATTAATTATTAATTTAATAATTTATTTAGTAATAAAAATTTGACATGTATTCATAAGTTTTATTAACTAATTAAATGTAGTATTTGATTCATTCTAGGTGCAAAAATGAGTGCAGAGACCAAACTTTATATATGATTACATTTTCATCAAACTTTGCATTCAAAGGCATAAAATTCATGCTTGAATTTAAATTTCATGCAAAATGCGTGGGACTATCTCCCTAAACCTGTCAAAAATGTATTCGACTTTTCAATTGCATCAACTTGTGATGTGTTTGCAATGTTTATTTACTGTTTTCTACATGCAGGATTCTGATGTATAATGATAAACAGTTAATTTCAGTTTTCTCAAAAAGCTTATAAGCTCTTAAAATATATTTATGGAGCCTTTGTCTTATAATTTCTACACTTAACACATTGAAATGGAACACATTTTTCTTAATTTCAATTGCTCAATTATTCAATTCAATTATTTTAATTGTCATGCATAATATTAGCCCTTAGTTAAAATAGCTGGCATGTTCAATTTAAGTTTTATTTATTTTACAAGTATTTGTGATAAAACTTCCATAATTTTGGCAGTTTCCAATTCTTTAAATTTATTGATTTCAACAAACTTAAAGGGCCGATTGCAGAGACAGCATTTACGTTAAATGACGTTTATCAACAGAACGGCCTATAGACGTTGGCTGGCTGAACCGCAATTTAAAATGCGTTGCAAAGACAACGATTGTCTATTTCTGACCGTTCTCTAAACGAACTTCAGCAAAACATTGGCTCTTACTTACTTCGCTATTACTCCCCTGTTTTAGGAGTCATTCAGCCAATCGGGTTATTTGTTTGTGACGTCAGAAATGGTCGCTAGCTATATTCCGAAAGCTTCCAGAAATAAAATCTTAAGGCCGTCAAAACCATTGTTCGGCAATTAATGACAATCCTTTTCCATTTCGATATTTAATTTTGTCGCCAATACGGTTTAAAATACGAACAAATCCATATTTAAAAAATTTATACCGAATTCGAAATTCTTCTTATTACTGTCTCCCTTCGTAACTATTGAAACGAATAATTTTAAATATTTTATTATTAATATTACATTTTTTTATATCTATAAACAGATTTCTGTAATTATAAAAATTGTCTCGTTTGTTTAACAGTACAATGACTCTGAAATGCATTAACGTTTTATAACCGACACAATACTCAAATTGTAATTAAATGCGTCTGATTTAAATTAAATGAAGTTTTAAGTCTTCACCCATTTGAATATCAAAATTGGAACATTTAAAACAAATGTAAAGTATTTAATTTTGTTGTTTTGCTCCAAGCAATTAATTAATGAATAATTTTGTCAATTCGTACCATTTACAACATTCATCGAAGGAACGATATCTGTTTTATCTAAACTTTTCCACAAACAAAGCTACCACTCGAATTGAAAAGCCCTCTAAACCTGCTGTCGAGTGAGTCTAGAAAATAGGTCAAATAACTTGTTTCTAATCGCTGTCTACATTGTGGCAGTCGTCGTCTCTGCAATGAAATTTTTCTGAACAGTGGTCTACCCGATCTGTAAACCGCCGTTGGTCTCTAAACGTTGTCTCTGCAATCGGCTGTAAGATTCTATTTTTTTTCTAACCTAGGTATATTAAATTAACATTAAACTAATGTTATAAATATATTCATTTACGATCTCTTCTCCAAATTATAAAATAAGAAATTGATTTTTATTAAACTTTTATGAAATAATATATTTCTTACTATACAGTTTTTATTTTATTCAAATAATAAAGAAAAAGGGTCAAATTAAGTTATTTAATAAAGTGTCTGTGTCAAAGCAGAGAAGTGCGGAAAGAAAAGTCGAAAAAGGAAAAGATCCAGGTCCAAAACAGGCGTGAAGAAACACAAACGATCCAGTCGCAGACCCGTTATTTAATTTTTAAAATATATAAATGTAAATCAAATAAGGAAAAAATCTGTAATTTATTGAGAAACACAACATACTGTATATTCATACAGTTGTTTTCAACTGGAGTGCCACATTATACTAGGGTCTGGGTATCAACAATAATTCACATGTACTGGAAATGATTGATGAAAGAAGATAGCACAATACTTGGTGATCTGTCAAGGGGATTAATACATCTCAGGAAGGTTTTATAAGAAACTTGTCCCTATTTAGGCATTAGACAGATGAAGAAAACTCAAAAAACACTATGTTATTAGCCTGTTGGTGAGGTGAAAGTATACAACCAGTGTTCACTGGTATTATCTGCTTTCGGCACTGGTGGGCTCTGGTGTCTTGAAACATAATGCTGAGCAGCACATATATATTATTAAAAATACTAAAAGCACAATAATGCTACATTGATAGGGGGTTTTAAAAGAAATAGGGACCCTGCAAGAAAAGGTTTATCAAGTTGGGTGTTCCAGTATTAGAAAAAGGTTGAAAAAATACTATTAATATTTTGATTGAAGATAAGAAAAGACATGGAATTTGATGTGTGTCATGATTATGAATGATGTTTTTCCTGTAAGATAATAATATTCAAGAAAATATGAATAAATCTACAAAATAAAATTGTTTTTTGTACTGTTAACATTTATTACTATTTAAATGATAAATTTCAAGAGCAAATATAATAAATTTGTCATGACAATCATTTATTACATTTTCTATTTAGGAATCTGATGATGATTCATTGGATTGGGGTTCTTCGTCAGAAGAAGAAAGTTCTTTATCTAGCGATGATGAAAAATATGCTGGAAATCTTGCTGCAAAGTTTTTGAAAAAGTATTTAATATTTTTCTTATTTTATATTTTAAAATGTTTACTTGAAAATTACAGTGAAATTTTTAATTTTGTTAAAAACTTTAAGTTTAATTATAAAATACAGTTTATATTACATAAAATTTAAAATTTATGTTGTTTGAAAAAGTGAACATTTTCATTTTTACAGAAATTAAATTATGTAGAAATGATAACTCTATAAAAATGAAAATATTATAAGAGTTATAAAACTAGTAATATTTTGTAGATTATTATTATTGACTTTTTTAATTATAATTTAAAAATATAGCATTTATTTTTAGTCTTTTTTTGTATTTTTATCTAATTTAGATCAGCAGATGAGCAAAAAGAAATGAAGAAACGAGAGAAAAAGAGAGATAAAGAAAGAAAAGAAAGAAAACGTGAAGATGATGATGATGATGAAGGTAAATGGGAAGAAGTGAAAGGAGGTGTTCCTTTAATTATGGTATGTTAGTTTTAAAATTTTATTTTTAAAGAATGAGATATTAACAAATATATCTAATTTATAGAACTAAAATTTTTTATCTTATATTCTTTTTAATTCAAATATATTGCCCATAATAATAATAATAATATAAAAAAAATAGGATAACTATTATTATAAAATGTTATTGAAATTAAATCAGTATGAATATAGTATTTAATTAAACATTATATTAAAAAACAATAATTATATAAATAGCATGAAATAATTAAAATTATTCTTCAATGTATCTTTTTTAAATGAAATATTAAAGAAATTATTAGTTTTTTTACATTAAATTTTCAAAAAAAACAATCATTTTCTAATGATTTAAAATTTTACTATACATTGTTTTATACACACATTATATATATGTTACAGACTTTATCTGATTGTTATATTCAGATATCTATTGATCTATAAATAATTTCTAAATAAATAAAATTATAATAAATGCTGAAACTTTTAGTTTCAATTATAACTTCTATTTTTGGTTTTAATATTTATCATCATTTTGTATGTATATCTGAAAATTTTCTGTTGTTTATCTTTCAAAGCAGTCCACTTGAACTTTTCTTTTTCTGTTTTTTCTCCAATTATATATTGAATTATACATTTTATTTTTAAGGGTTTGACTCTAGAATGTCTAGTTTACCTTTTGATATCTTCAAACCAGTTCATATAATATAATATAATATGATATGGAGTATATGGAGTGCTGTTCTATTTATAAAGATGCTTAGGCCATCTAACATGCTGCTGTAATGTAGATGACATATGATTGATTATCTAACATATCTAAATAGATCTTGATAATTATGATTTTGCTTAAAACAATCAATAATACAAAATAAAATTATGAAAAACAGTCCGAGAATATCAGATTTTTTCATAAAATTTTATTGTTAGGATAGTCTGTAGAGTGGCTAGATTACATAGTTGAAACAAAAACTGATTTGCCATTTTAAAGTACAGTTTTCCAGTAATCTATAGAGTAGGCTTTTGTTCTTTCATAAGGACAGACATAATTAACATTAGTTAGAATAATTAGTTTCTTATAAATGATAAATTTCTACAATAATTCAATCTACTACGTATTATTTATATATTAATATATAGGATATTTCTCTAGTATTTTAATAAATTTTTAAAGAATATACAATTTATGATAAAATTTATTATTTTTCTTTAATAATTTTTTTCTACAGGAAAAACCAAAAATGTTTGCAAAAGATGCTGAAATTAATCATCAGGTAGTTTTAAAAAAGCTTACTGAAATTCTTGCTGCTAGAGGGAAAAAAGGAACTGATCGTAGTGAACAAATAGATTTACTTAATGAATTGATGGATACTGTTAAAACTCATGCTCTGGGTCCAGCAATGGAAGTAAAAATCATGTTTGCTATTATTTCTGCTATATATGATTATAATCCAAATATTGCAACTTGTATGAAAATAGAAATGTGGCAGAAGTAAGTTTTCTGAATAAAATAATTTATAATGTATCAAGTAAAAGTAAAAACTTTGTGAGTTCATTTAAAATTTAAACTTTCAGATGTTTGGAATTCATAAATAAATTACTTGACATATTAGTTGCTAATTCTTCAATAAATGTTGGAGAACACATTTCTGAGGATTCTGAAGTGTTTTCATCAGTACCTTATCGTGTGAGAGGATGTATACTTACAATGATTGAAAGAATGGATGAAGAATTTACAAAAATGCTTCAGGTAATTAAACTAAAATATAAGTATTTTATAAGATATATTAAAATTACATATATATAATCTTAAATGCTGTTCATAAATATACAGTATATATATATATATACATACATATTGCTGTATATTTAAGAACAGTATTTAAACTATTATTGTATCATTCAGTACCAAATAAATTACACAAGATAATGATTCTATGCAAATAGTTTAACTGGAAAAATGTATTAGTGCCAAAAATTAAAGAAAAGTAAATAGTACAGTGAGACTAAGAAGAAACTGGGATTGCCTGGCATCTCACAGAAACCAGACAACCTAGCTCTTAACATCTATATTACATGAAATTTTTAAAACATCTGAAAAAAATAGTATCCTCTAACTTTTCAACTTGGAGGACAAGTACTACAAACTTTTTACATTGCATGCCTAATTTTTGAGATAAAAAATGCTGACATATCTCATAGATGCCAAACAACTCCTCATGTACTATAAAAATGGAGGTAAATTACATAAGTGTAATATTTGTGAACATCACTTGTAATGAATGAAATTTGACATAATATCAATTTAAAATAAACATATCTTTACAAAAATACTGTTTTTTTATATTTTTTGCTCTTCCTTCATATCTGGATCAATTTTAATTCATTTAAAATGGACATTATTTGTATGTCCATTTGAAATCAGTATGATAATCATAAACTGCTGTCAAGGGTGAAGTGTTTAAGTTTATTCAAGATGTTTTCAAAGATATCAAGAAGATAACTCATAAACATTTTAAGGACTTGCTTGAAAAATTTTGTAATTTTTAAAGCAGTAGGATGTGTTATAATTTTGTAGTTTATTTGATACTTAGAGGAATTAATCCAGCCATGCCTGAAGAAAAAAGAATTATCCAGATGTGCTTTCTTAATGCATTTTCTTTTCTAAGAATTTTTCTTAGTTTATTATATTTTCTGCTCCTCATTACTGTTGTTGAAATAAATAAGTTAGGAAAGAATCTAATATTTTAAGTGAAAATAGTTTTAAAAATTATGATTACAGACTGTATTAAAAATATGATGTTTGTTTTTTAGGGATGTGATGCACATTCTCCAGAATATGTAGAACGTCTTAAAGATGAAAAAGAAGTTTGCCAAATAATTCAGAGAGTACAGGATTACTTAGAAGAGAGAGGAACACCATCTGAATTGTGCCGTATATATCTACGTCATATAGAACATCTATACTATAAGGTTTGTTACTGTTCTCATTTTAATACAGTAGAATTATTGTAATCAATTTGGAATTTCATACTAATGATGATAACATCTGATAGCATTAACAAAAGCACTGATAGCATTAACAAAAGCAAGAAATAAGACTACATTTAGTGGAAATTCTAGTTTTATTGACTCTTACATTAAATGACATGTTAAAACAGTTTTATTTAAAAGTATAATTTGAATATTATTAATTATAATTATTTCTTAAAAAAACATTTCAAAGAACAATAAAATATTCACTCTATGACAAATAGTTCCACATTTCACAAAGTATACATCTTGCAACAGATCTTTCTTTGAAGGTTACTGGCAAGAGCCAGAGTTTTATTCTTCCAGCAGTAGCCTATAAGGAAAGGTCTGTTGTGAGATGTGTACTTTGTCGAATGTGGAACTTTTCATCGAGTGAATATTTATTGTTTTTTGAAATGTTTTTTAAGAAATAATTATAATTATTAATAATCAAATTATATTTTAAAAAATTGTTTAATTTATTTAATTTTAGAACATAATAAGTATTTAATACTACTCTTATAATGTATTTTTCAGCATTGATTATTTAAAAAAAATTTATTATTTGATTTAATATAATTTTTATAGTTTGATCAAAATGTCTTTAAATGGAAAGAAAGTCGATCGCATAAAGAGGAAAAAGAACAACAACCTGAAAATGCTGTAAATGGAGAAAAAGAATCAGAAGAAGAGAAAAAGGATGATGTACCAGAAGAACCAAACGAAACGAGTTTATTGATTATGGACAGACTTTGTAAATTTATTTATGTTAAAGATAGTACTGATCGAATTCGTACTCAAGCAATGCTTTGTCATATTTATCATCATGCTCTGCATGATAATTGGTTTGAAGCAAGAGATTTAATGTTGATGTCTCATCTGCAAGAAAATATCCAACATTCTGATGTTCCTACTCAGGTAAGTCATTTAAAATTATGAATTTATTCATATTTTTAAGTAGTTGTGAAAGTGTTGAACAAGGATAAACCTTCAAACTATGAAGTTAACAGTAAAACAGTTTTTTAACAATTTTAAACTATTCCCAAATTCATAATTTTTTAACTTAGCACAAAGAAATTTTATGACTTCATGAATTTATAATTTATTTTGAAAAATTTATATTTTTAACTAGTCAGTACAAATTAAAATTAACAAAATTACATTCATTGTTAATAAAAACATTACCAGTGACAATAAAGGGAGGAGGGCAGATTACACCTTAATATTGATTTTATGATTGACGCTGTGATCATGTTTCTACAGCCCTCAATAAAGTCATTTTTCAATTCCACATTGATATAACAAAGATAAATTGTATTTACTATACTGTACATTAGTTAGGTGAATGTCACCAATGTCACTGCAACATAAGTGCAATCCTTAATCTGAAATTGATAAAATGTTTATTCTATAGCTAATGTGAAAATCCAGTGGCTGTTTTTCTATAATTTTTAACAAAAAGGTGTGTTTTAGAAACTCTTCTTTATTTCCGTTAATTTCCCACGGAGTTAAAAAATGGGAGAAGATTGAATGTTAACTTAATTTTCAACAAGTCCTTTCCCCCTCATATTGACTCACAAAAATATTGATAATATGTTAAGACAATCAACTGTTAAAGTGTGAAAAAGTTGACATTTAACTGTCTTTGGGGAGAATCTAAAAACAATTGGGAGAAATAAGAAACCTACTAGTCAATTTTGTTTAGTTTTCATCGTCCAGTGATGACATCTCTGATTTGTCATCACTGCCAAACAAATTATCACCTGACCAAATTTCCATACTGGATGGGGATGTAACGACCAGGAACCCATTAGTTAGGTGGACATACTCAGAAGAAGACAACATAAGTAGTCATGAATTATTCCACCGTAATTGGGCATGGATATACTCAGAAGATGACAGCACAGAATCGTCCACCATAATTGTAGTCTCAAAGGATTACATTTATATTTATTTATGCTTTGTGCAAAGTTCCTCCTCCAGTCCTCTATGGATAATCTACAGTCAAACGACAGACATCACTCTTAAAGAGGTATGATAATTGTCTGATTAATGTAAACCAGGGATGGCCAACATGTAGACCGCGGTCAACCAGTCGACTGCAAAGGCTTTGAAAGTAGCCCGCGAAGCTAAAGTTGAACAATTTGCTTTCAATTAAATTAATGTTTAAAAATCTTAATTTGATAATTTATTCTTACAATAATAGACTGTCTGTGCAACGTACCCATACTGTTTGTATTTATCCCGATGAACAATGCAAATGAATGTTAACACATGCGCATATAAAACTCCTAAAATTGTTTGCCCATATTCATAGTCGCCCATAGACTATATTTTACCAAAAAAGTAGCCCGTAAGGTATAAAAGTTTGGCCACACCTGATGTAAACTCTCTCTCTCTTGGTTGACCTTTAGCTTAGGAACTCATACCATTAAATGAACTCTTATGCTCATATATACATTTTATTTTTTATTAAAGTTATTAGTTTTGTTAACCTGTTAGCCTGACTTTATTCAGTCACCCTATCAACGTACCTATGACTTCCTCACTTGATTTATAGCCCTCCTATTTGATACAACCATCCAGTGATGTGAGCAGATCTTGCCGATCTGTCACTGATCAAAGGGGTTTAGATTTATAATAAAGAAATAAGTTTCTTTAGTAGACAATACATACAAGATGTGTCTTTTATACAATTTGTCCTTTCTCACGCAGATGAGGGATAAGACAATTCCATGGTGGAGTCAACCTTTTATTTGAGGCTTCTCGTCCACCTCCAAATGCAAAACAGTCCAATATTTCCCCCTAGCAGTGGCAGCACAATTAAAATTAATTACATTTTTAAAATTAAGTCAGGACAATTTAATTTGTAGAAAGTTATTTCTTTGTTACAAATTAAATTGTCCACGCTTAATTTTAAAAAAGGGGTTTAGAGTTTGATGCTCTACCTCCCCAGCTTCTCACAGCTAATATTCTACAAAATAAGTAGCCTATACTTTCCATCAGAATAGAAAACAAATATAACCAAAATTTCATCTGGGTTGAACAAAAATTTCAGGGGTTATAAGGAATTCACACACACAAATGCATATACACACAGACGACAGTTTTCATTTTACCAATGCTACTTACAATTTTGCTATTGTAGTTATTTCATTATTATATGATTTTACTTTACCATTGAAATATTATAATTAACTTAAAAAATTGCAGTTATTGCAGTTTATTTTAAATTTATTTATTTTTTTTCTTTGTATGTAATTCTTAAGAATTTATCAGAAAANCCATATGCTATGCTAACTAATCATAAAATTTTTGTTTTTCCATTCTAACTGAAATTTTTATAATTATATGAAAGAAAATACAAATATTATTTGATATGATCATTTGTGTGAATTACATTTGCCATAAACTCTTGATATATTGCAAATGTAATTCACAATTTTAGATATTTGTATTGTGATATCAAATTTAATTAATTGATATATTTAGGATCATTTGATGGTACAGATGATTTTTATAAATTTTATATTTTGATGATTTACATATATTTTCAATTAGATGGAGAAATCACTGTTTCAAAAATTTTATATTATTATCGTGAATAATCAAATGAGAAAAGCAATGGAAAATTATTTGGCCACAGATTTGTTAGAGTGAGACCTAATCTGTATATTCTTTAGGATTCTTTGCTTATGTCAATTGCTTCTCCTTTATGATAACTAATAACAGGAATTCTGCATGCAGATTTAATTAAATTGCATTCCTAGATATGCACCTTTGCATATGAAAATTATTCTTCCTAAAAATTTACACTTTTTGTTTTACATATTTTTATTTTTTTATTTTTACCAAAAACTTCAATTTAATACATAGAATTTTTTTCTATATGAAGGCAAAATCTTTATCCACATTATTCCAAATACAGTAGTTTTGCCAAATCACTGCCATCTTTTCAATGTTATCAAATGTTATGTTATGGTGTTTACACATCATAAAATCATGATACACTGAAAATGATCATTTGCTCTTAATGGAAGTGAACAGTGCATATTTAGTCTTAATATGGAAGTTCAGTTCAATTACTTATCAAGTGTTTTTAGATTTGTATTCTTAGAGACAGTAGAGAACAGCTTCTCTTTTACAAATCCATTTAGAGAGTTTAAAGCTCTGGAAAATATTCCACTTCCTCTGTTAAATTCTGTTTTTCAAGTTCCCTAATATATCCAATAAGGCATTTGAATGAGTAGACTGGGTACAGACAGTTTATCTTCTAGATCTGTACATGAAATCAAATCCTCAGCTTATAAAACTGCAGTTGAATTATCCTTGATCTTTCCAATGAATTTTTTAATTTTAACAAAATTTTTGAAAAGAAATGCTACAGCCTTTAGCTATGTATCCTATCTTATTATAACTAGAGTAGGTGACAAAGATATGCTAGTAACTTCTTTGTAATGCTGTACTTGAGCAGGAGTTTTTGTAAGGATTTTTTTCTTGCTTCAGGGATAAAGGAATTGGCTATCTGATATTCTTCTTGCACTTTCTCATGCACTTGATATAATGAATATGTTAAGCAGGTCACATGCTTTTAAATCTGGATAAAGGAGCATCAATTGAGACATTATGTTTAGCAATTATGATGCTTGTTCTGACAGGATGAGCCACAATCTTTCATAATTAATTGTTCCATTCCACAGTCTTGAATATGCATCATTAACTGCTTGCATTATTGTAGTGTTGTTTATGGATTCCAGATGGTACATTTTAAACATCATAAACTTTAAAGGTTCTCCATTTAAAGGAGCCACCATTATCTGAATACATATCTCTTGAGAGAATTGATAGTTTCATCTGCAGCAAACACAGTTTTCCACAAAATCCACAGTTTTCTTTTTTGTTTTTAACTTAGTTGCATTGTAGTTTTTGTCAATGTACATTTCCATAATGTGTTTTCATCTGGAATTTTTTTGTCAGTTATTTTTTCAAAAGAATTTTTAAGAGATGTGTGGTTTAATTTCCATAAAGGAATTTAAGCTTCTAACAAGGTTGTAGAAAGGTCACAATGAAATAAAAAAGTTGCAGTATTGAGTGTTTTGTTTATGCATAAATTTTCCTCTTGCTGGCTCTGTTCTTGAGTTTTAAGTTCCATATTATTTTTATGATCTCCACTTGTTGCAATAGCTACATATTAAAATGGTTCCATCTATATATAAACCTTCTCCGACAAATTGTTTAGTTAAATTTTGAAGCTTTGATTTCTTTAGTTGAGTGCAGTTAGAGAATGGTGTAAATATGGTAATGCTGGCCAAAAATTATTGAAAATTGGTTCTGAAGATTTCTTTAGTATTCCTGCAATTTCATTTTATATATCTAGATTTTACAACTAAACAACAATCACCATAGTAGGAAGCACATTGAACGAGAGAAACCTTGTAGTATTGCCATGAAAGGTTTTTCTCAATCTACAGGAATTTTGGATGTTAGTGAATTTAGAATTAGAATTTTTTTTATTAATTACTAATAAAGCTTAATAAGTATCAAATTTTTACTAATAAGTAAATTATTGATTAATTATTAATTTAATAATTTATTTAGTAATAAAAATTTGACATGTATTCATAAGTTTTATTAACTAATTAAATGTAGTATTTGATTCATTCTAGGTGCAAAAATGAGTGCAGAGACCAAACTTTATATATGATTACATTTTCATCAAACTTTGCATTCAAAGGCATAAAATTCATGCTTGAATTTAAATTTCATGCAAAATGCGTGGGACTATCTCCCTAAACCTGTCAAAAATGTATTCGACTTTTCAATTGCATCAACTTGTGATGTGTTTGCAATGTTTATTTACTGTTTTCTACATGCAGGATTCTGATGTATAATGATAAACAGTTAATTTCAGTTTTCTCAAAAAGCTTATAAGCTCTTAAAATATATTTATGGAGCCTTTGTCTTATAATTTCTACACTTAACACATTGAAATGGAACACATTTTTCTTAATTTCAATTGCTCAATTATTCAATTCAATTATTTTAATTGTCATGCATAATATTAGCCCTTAGTTAAAATAGCTGGCATGTTCAATTTAAGTTTTATTTATTTTACAAGTATTTGTGATAAAACTTCCATAATTTTGGCAGTTTCCAATTCTTTAAATTTATTGATTTCAACAAACTTAAAGGGCCGATTGCAGAGACAGCATTTACGTTAAATGACGTTTATCAACAGAACGGCCTATAGACGTTGGCTGGCTGAACCGCAATTTAAAATGCGTTGCAAAGACAACGATTGTCTATTTCTGACCGTTCTCTAAACGAACTTCAGCAAAACATTGGCTCTTACTTACTTCGCTATTACTCCCCTGTTTTAGGAGTCATTCAGCCAATCGGGTTATTTGTTTGTGACGTCAGAAATGGTCGCTAGCTATATTCCGAAAGCTTCCAGAAATAAAATCTTAAGGCCGTCAAAACCATTGTTCGGCAATTAATGACAATCCTTTTCCATTTCGATATTTAATTTTGTCGCCAATACGGTTTAAAATACGAACAAATCCATATTTAAAAAATTTATACCGAATTCGAAATTCTTCTTATTACTGTCTCCCTTCGTAACTATTGAAACGAATAATTTTAAATATTTTATTATTAATATTACATTTTTTTATATCTATAAACAGATTTCTGTAATTATAAAAATTGTCTCGTTTGTTTAACAGTACAATGACTCTGAAATGCATTAACGTTTTATAACCGACACAATACTCAAATTGTAATTAAATGCGTCTGATTTAAATTAAATGAAGTTTTAAGTCTTCACCCATTTGAATATCAAAATTGGAACATTTAAAACAAATGTAAAGTATTTAATTTTGTTGTTTTGCTCCAAGCAATTAATTAATGAATAATTTTGTCAATTCGTACCATTTACAACATTCATCGAAGGAACGATATCTGTTTTATCTAAACTTTTCCACAAACAAAGCTACCACTCGAATTGAAAAGCCCTCTAAACCTGCTGTCGAGTGAGTCTAGAAAATAGGTCAAATAACTTGTTTCTAATCGCTGTCTACATTGTGGCAGTCGTCGTCTCTGCAATGAAATTTTTCTGAACAGTGGTCTACCCGATCTGTAAACCGCCGTTGGTCTCTAAACGTTGTCTCTGCAATCGGCTGTAAGATTCTATTTTTTTTCTAACCTAGGTATATTAAATTAACATTAAACTAATGTTATAAATATATTCATTTACGATCTCTTCTCCAAATTATAAAATAAGAAATTGATTTTTATTAAACTTTTATGAAATAATATATTTCTTACTATACAGTTTTTATTTTATTCAAATAATAAAGAAAAAGGGTCAAATTAAGTTATTTAATAAAGTGTCTGTGTCAAAGCAGAGAAGTGCGGAAAGAAAAGTCGAAAAAGGAAAAGATCCAGGTCCAAAACAGGCGTGAAGAAACACAAACGATCCAGTCGCAGACCCGTTATTTAATTTTTAAAATATATAAATGTAAATCAAATAAGGAAAAAATCTGTAATTTATTGAGAAACACAACATACTGTATATTCATACAGTTGTTTTCAACTGGAGTGCCACATTATACTAGGGTCTGGGTATCAACAATAATTCACATGTACTGGAAATGATTGATGAAAGAAGATAGCACAATACTTGGTGATCTGTCAAGGGGATTAATACATCTCAGGAAGGTTTTATAAGAAACTTGTCCCTATTTAGGCATTAGACAGATGAAGAAAACTCAAAAAACACTATGTTATTAGCCTGTTGGTGAGGTGAAAGTATACAACCAGTGTTCACTGGTATTATCTGCTTTCGGCACTGGTGGGCTCTGGTGTCTTGAAACATAATGCTGAGCAGCACATATATATTATTAAAAATACTAAAAGCACAATAATGCTACATTGATAGGGGGTTTTAAAAGAAATAGGGACCCTGCAAGAAAAGGTTTATCAAGTTGGGTGTTCCAGTATTAGAAAAAGGTTGAAAAAATACTATTAATATTTTGATTGAAGATAAGAAAAGACATGGAATTTGATGTGTGTCATGATTATGAATGATGTTTTTCCTGTAAGATAATAATATTCAAGAAAATATGAATAAATCTACAAAATAAAATTGTTTTTTGTACTGTTAACATTTATTACTATTTAAATGATAAATTTCAAGAGCAAATATAATAAATTTGTCATGACAATCATTTATTACATTTTCTATTTAGGAATCTGATGATGATTCATTGGATTGGGGTTCTTCGTCAGAAGAAGAAAGTTCTTTATCTAGCGATGATGAAAAATATGCTGGAAATCTTGCTGCAAAGTTTTTGAAAAAGTATTTAATATTTTTCTTATTTTATATTTTAAAATGTTTACTTGAAAATTACAGTGAAATTTTTAATTTTGTTAAAAACTTTAAGTTTAATTATAAAATACAGTTTATATTACATAAAATTTAAAATTTATGTTGTTTGAAAAAGTGAACATTTTCATTTTTACAGAAATTAAATTATGTAGAAATGATAACTCTATAAAAATGAAAATATTATAAGAGTTATAAAACTAGTAATATTTTGTAGATTATTATTATTGACTTTTTTAATTATAATTTAAAAATATAGCATTTATTTTTAGTCTTTTTTTGTATTTTTATCTAATTTAGATCAGCAGATGAGCAAAAAGAAATGAAGAAACGAGAGAAAAAGAGAGATAAAGAAAGAAAAGAAAGAAAACGTGAAGATGATGATGATGATGAAGGTAAATGGGAAGAAGTGAAAGGAGGTGTTCCTTTAATTATGGTATGTTAGTTTTAAAATTTTATTTTTAAAGAATGAGATATTAACAAATATATCTAATTTATAGAACTAAAATTTTTTATCTTATATTCTTTTTAATTCAAATATATTGCCCATAATAATAATAATAATATAAAAAAAATAGGATAACTATTATTATAAAATGTTATTGAAATTAAATCAGTATGAATATAGTATTTAATTAAACATTATATTAAAAAACAATAATTATATAAATAGCATGAAATAATTAAAATTATTCTTCAATGTATCTTTTTTAAATGAAATATTAAAGAAATTATTAGTTTTTTTACATTAAATTTTCAAAAAAAACAATCATTTTCTAATGATTTAAAATTTTACTATACATTGTTTTATACACACATTATATATATGTTACAGACTTTATCTGATTGTTATATTCAGATATCTATTGATCTATAAATAATTTCTAAATAAATAAAATTATAATAAATGCTGAAACTTTTAGTTTCAATTATAACTTCTATTTTTGGTTTTAATATTTATCATCATTTTGTATGTATATCTGAAAATTTTCTGTTGTTTATCTTTCAAAGCAGTCCACTTGAACTTTTCTTTTTCTGTTTTTTCTCCAATTATATATTGAATTATACATTTTATTTTTAAGGGTTTGACTCTAGAATGTCTAGTTTACCTTTTGATATCTTCAAACCAGTTCATATAATATAATATAATATGATATGGAGTATATGGAGTGCTGTTCTATTTATAAAGATGCTTAGGCCATCTAACATGCTGCTGTAATGTAGATGACATATGATTGATTATCTAACATAATACAAAATAAAATTATGAAAAACAGTCCGAGAATATCAGATTTTTTCAAAAAATTTTATTGTTAGGATAGTCTGTAGAGTGGCTAGATTACATAGTTGAAACAAAAACTGATTTGCCATTTTAAAGTACAGTTTTCCAGTAATCTATAGAGTAGGCTTTTGTTCTTTCATAAGGACAGACATAATTAACATTAGTTAGAATAATTAGTTTCTTATAAATGATAAATTTCTACAATAATTCAATCTACTACGTATTATTTATATATTAATATATAGGATATTTCTCTAGTATTTTAATAAATTTTTAAAGAATATACAATTTATGATAAAATTTATTATTTTTCTTTAATAATTTTTTTCTACAGGAAAAACCAAAAATGTTTGCAAAAGATGCTGAAATTAATCATCAGGTAGTTTTAAAAAAGCTTACTGAAATTCTTGCTGCTAGAGGGAAAAAAGGAACTGATCGTAGTGAACAAATAGATTTACTTAATGAATTGATGGATACTGTTAAAACTCATGCTCTGGGTCCAGCAATGGAAGTAAAAATCATGTTTGCTATTATTTCTGCTATATATGATTATAATCCAAATATTGCAACTTGTATGAAAATAGAAATGTGGCAGAAGTAAGTTTTCTGAATAAAATAATTTATAATGTATCAAGTAAAAGTAAAAACTTTGTGAGTTCATTTAAAATTTAAACTTTCAGATGTTTGGAATTCATAAATAAATTACTTGACATATTAGTTGCTAATTCTTCAATAAATGTTGGAGAACACATTTCTGAGGATTCTGAAGTGTTTTCATCAGTACCTTATCGTGTGAGAGGATGTATACTTACAATGATTGAAAGAATGGATGAAGAATTTACAAAAATGCTTCAGGTAATTAAACTAAAATATAAGTATTTTATAAGATATATTAAAATTACATATATATAATCTTAAATGCTGTTCATAAATATACAGTATATATATATATATACATACATATTGCTGTATATTTAAGAACAGTATTTAAACTATTATTGTATCATTCAGTACCAAATAAATTACACAAGATAATGATTCTATGCAAATAGTTTAACTGGAAAAATGTATTAGTGCCAAAAATTAAAGAAAAGTAAATAGTACAGTGAGACTAAGAAGAAACTGGGATTGCCTGGCATCTCACAGAAACCAGACAACCTAGCTCTTAACATCTATATTACATGAAATTTTTAAAACATCTGAAAAAAATAGTATCCTCTAACTTTTCAACTTGGAGGACAAGTACTACAAACTTTTTACATTGCATGCCTAATTTTTGAGATAAAAAATGCTGACATATCTCATAGATGCCAAACAACTCCTCATGTACTATAAAAATGGAGGTAAATTACATAAGTGTAATATTTGTGAACATCACTTGTAATGAATGAAATTTGACATAATATCAATTTAAAATAAACATATCTTTACAAAAATACTGTTTTTTTATATTTTTTGCTCTTCCTTCATATCTGGATCAATTTTAATTCATTTAAAATGGACATTATTTGTATGTCCATTTGAAATCAGTATGATAATCATAAACTGCTGTCAAGGGTGAAGTGTTTAAGTTTATTCAAGATGTTTTCAAAGATATCAAGAAGATAACTCATAAACATTTTAAGGACTTGCTTGAAAAATTTTGTAATTTTTAAAGCAGTAGGATGTGTTATAATTTTGTAGTTTATTTGATACTTAGAGGAATTAATCCAGCCATGCCTGAAGAAAAAAGAATTATCCAGATGTGCTTTCTTAATGCATTTTCTTTTCTAAGAATTTTTCTTAGTTTATTATATTTTCTGCTCCTCATTACTGTTGTTGAAATAAATAAGTTAGGAAAGAATCTAATATTTTAAGTGAAAATAGTTTTAAAAATTATGATTACAGACTGTATTAAAAATATGATGTTTGTTTTTTAGGGATGTGATGCACATTCTCCAGAATATGTAGAACGTCTTAAAGATGAAAAAGAAGTTTGCCAAATAATTCAGAGAGTACAGGATTACTTAGAAGAGAGAGGAACACCATCTGAATTGTGCCGTATATATCTACGTCATATAGAACATCTATACTATAAGGTTTGTTACTGTTCTCATTTTAATACAGTAGAATTATTGTAATCAATTTGGAATTTCATACTAATGATGATAACATCTGATAGCATTAACAAAAGCACTGATAGCATTAACAAAAGCAAGAAATAAGACTACATTTAGTGGAAATTCTAGTTTTATTGACTCTTACATTAAATGACATGTTAAAACAGTTTTATTTAAAAGTATAATTTGAATATTATTAATTATAATTATTTCTTAAAAAAACATTTCAAAGAACAATAAAATATTCACTCTATGACAAATAGTTCCACATTTCACAAAGTATACATCTTGCAACAGATCTTTCTTTGAAGGTTACTGGCAAGAGCCAGAGTTTTATTCTTCCAGCAGTAGCCTATAAGGAAAGGTCTGTTGTGAGATGTGTACTTTGTCGAATGTGGAACTTTTCATCGAGTGAATATTTATTGTTTTTTGAAATGTTTTTTAAGAAATAATTATAATTATTAATAATCAAATTATATTTTAAAAAATTGTTTAATTTATTTAATTTTAGAACATAATAAGTATTTAATACTACTCTTATAATGTATTTTTCAGCATTGATTATTTAAAAAAAATTTATTATTTGATTTAATATAATTTTTATAGTTTGATCAAAATGTCTTTAAATGGAAAGAAAGTCGATCGCATAAAGAGGAAAAAGAACAACAACCTGAAAATGCTGTAAATGGAGAAAAAGAATCAGAAGAAGAGAAAAAGGATGATGTACCAGAAGAACCAAACGAAACGAGTTTATTGATTATGGACAGACTTTGTAAATTTATTTATGTTAAAGATAGTACTGATCGAATTCGTACTCAAGCAATGCTTTGTCATATTTATCATCATGCTCTGCATGATAATTGGTTTGAAGCAAGAGATTTAATGTTGATGTCTCATCTGCAAGAAAATATCCAACATTCTGATGTTCCTACTCAGGTAAGTCATTTAAAATTATGAATTTATTCATATTTTTAAGTAGTTGTGAAAGTGTTGAACAAGGATAAACCTTCAAACTATGAAGTTAACAGTAAAACAGTTTTTTAACAATTTTAAACTATTCCCAAATTCATAATTTTTTAACTTAGCACAAAGAAATTTTATGACTTCATGAATTTATAATTTATTTTGAAAAATTTATATTTTTAACTAGTCAGTACAAATTAAAATTAACAAAATTACATTCATTGTTAATAAAAACATTACCAGTGACAATAAAGGGAGGAGGGCAGATTACTTACACCTTAATATTGATTTTATGATTGACGCTGTGATCATGTTTCTACAGCCCTTAATAAAGTCATTTTTCAATTCCACATTGATATAACAAAGATAAATTGTATTTACTATACTGTACATTAGTTAGGTGAATGTCACCAATGTCACTGCAACATAAGTGCAATCCTTAATCTGAAATTGATAAAATGTTTATTCTATAGCTAATGTGAAAATCCAGTGGCTGTTTTTCTATAATTTTTAACAAAAAGGTGTGTTTTAGAAACTCTTCTTTATTTCCGTTAATTTCCCACGGAGTTAAAAAATGGGAGAAGATTGAATGTTAACTTAATTTTCAACAAGTCCTTTCCCCCTCATATTGACTCACAAAAATATTGATAATATGTTAAGACAATCAACTGTTAAAGTGTGAAAAAGTTGACATTTAACTGTCTTTGGGGAGAATCTAAAAACAATTGGGAGAAATAAGAAACCTACTAGTCAATTTTGTTTAGTTTTCATCGTCCAGTGATGACATCTCTGATTTGTCATCACTGCCAAACAAATTATCACCTGACCAAATTTCCATACTGGATGGGGATGTAACGACCAGGAACCCATTAGTTAGGTGGACATACTCAGAAGAAGACAACATAAGTAGTCATGAATTATTCCACCGTAATTGGGCATGGATATACTCAGAAGATGACAGCACAGAATCGTCCACCATAATTGTAGTCTCAAAGGATTACATTTATATTTATTTATGCTTTGTGCAAAGTTCCTCCTCCAGTCCTCTATGGATAATCTACAGTCAAACGACAGACATCACTCTTAAAGAGGTATGATAATTGTCTGATTAATGTAAACCAGGGATGGCCAACATGTAGACCGCGGTCAACCAGTCGACTGCAAAGGCTTTGAAAGTAGCCCGCGAAGCTAAAGTTGAACAATTTGCTTTCAATTAAATTAATGTTTAAAAATCTTAATTTGATAATTTATTCTTACAATAATAGACTGTCTGTGCAACGTACCCATACTGTTTGTATTTATCCCGATGAACAATGCAAATGAATGTTAACACATGCGCATATAAAACTCCTAAAATTGTTTGCCCATATTCATAGTCGCCCATAGACTATATTTTACCAAAAAAGTAGCCCGTAAGGTATAAAAGTTTGGCCACACCTGATGTAAACTCTCTCTCTCTTGGTTGACCTTTAGCTTAGGAACTCATACCATTAAATGAACTCTTATGCTCATATATACATTTTATTTTTTATTAAAGTTATTAGTTTTGTTAACCTGTTAGCCTGACTTTATTCAGTCACCCTATCAACGTACCTATGACTTCCTCACTTGATTTATAGCCCTCCTATTTGATACAACCATCCAGTGATGTGAGCAGATCTTGCCGATCTGTCACTGATCAAAGGGGTTTAGATTTATAATAAAGAAATAAGTTTCTTTAGTAGACAATACATACAAGATGTGTCTTTTATACAATTTGTCCTTTCTCACGCAGATGAGGGATAAGACAATTCCATGGTGGAGTCAACCTTTTATTTGAGGCTTCTCGTCCACCTCCAAATGCAAAACAGTCCAATATTTCCCCCTAGCAGTGGCAGCACAATTAAAATTAATTACATTTTTAAAATTAAGTCAGGACAATTTAATTTGTAGAAAGTTATTTCTTTGTTACAAATTAAATTGTCCACGCTTAATTTTAAAAAAGGGGTTTAGAGTTTGATGCTCTACCTCCCCAGCTTCTCACAGCTAATATTCTACAAAATAAGTAGCCTATACTTTCCATCAGAATAGAAAACAAATATAACCAAAATTTCATCTGGGTTGAACAAAAATTTCAGGGGTTATAAGGAATTCACACACACAAATGCATATACACACAGACGACAGTTTTCATTTTACCAATGCTACTTACAATTTTGCTATTGTAGTTATTTCATTATTATATGATTTTACTTTACCATTGAAATATTATAATTAACTTAAAAAATTGCAGTTATTGCAGTTTATTTTAAATTTATTTATTTTTTTTCTTTGTATGTAATTCTTAAGAATTTATCAGAAAATCTTTTCATTTCCATTTTATTTTTAATAATAATTTTTCTGACGTTTGCAAAAATTTTATAGATGGTGATTACAGTAATGAGTAATTTGATATAGAATAATAATGATTTTTGATGATCAAAGTAGTTGCTATTGAGGTATGATGTGTGGGAGTATAAGAGTAACGAAAAACGTCTTTCAGATTAATTTTTAAGTATTAATGAATTGAAGATAATTCAATAAACAATTGAAAACATTTCTGACAAAATAGTTTATGTAAAATATTTGCAAAAATTTAAAACAATGGAATCTGTATTTTATTATAAGTTTAAAAGGTTATATTTTAAAAAATGTAAAAGTTAAAAAAATCCTTAAACTTTTTAAAAACAATTATGAGAAAATAACCTTCTCTGTGTATAGTTTTTTTTTAAGGTCTCCTTGAAAATTAGTAAAGACAGAGAAGAACTTTTTTTCTCATGGTGGTTTTTTAACTTTTACTTTGTTTAAAATATAAACTTTTAACTTATATTTTAGTTTCTNTCGCAGACCCGTTATTTAATTTTTAAAATATATAAATGTAAATCAAATAAGGAAAAAATCTGTAATTTATTGAGAAACACAACATACTGTATATTCATACAGTTGTTTTCAACTGGAGTGCCACATTATACTAGGGTCTGGGTATCAACAATAATTCACATGTACTGGAAATGATTGATGAAAGAAGATAGCACAATACTTGGTGATCTGTCAAGGGGATTAATACATCTCAGGAAGGTTTTATGAGAAACTTGTCCCTATTTAGGCATTAGACAGATGAAGAAAACTCAAAAAACACTATGTTATTAGCCTGTTGGTGAGGTGAAAGTATACAACCAGTGTTCACTGGTATTATCTGCTTTCGGCACTGGTGGGCTCTGGTGTCTTGAAACATAATGCTGAGCAGCACATATATATTATTAAAAATACTAAAAGCACAATAATGCTACATTGATAGGGGGTTTTAAAAGAAATAGGGACCCTGCAAGAAAAGGTTTATCAAGTTGGGTGTTCCAGTATTAGAAAAAGGTTGAAAAAATACTATTAATATTTTGATTGAAGATAAGAAAAGACATGGAATTTGATGTGTGTCATGATTATGAATGATGTTTTTCCTGTAAGATAATAATATTCAAGAAAATATGAATAAATCTACAAAATAAAATTGTTTTTTGTACTGTTAACATTTATTACTATTTAAATGATAAATTTCAAGAGCAAATATAATAAATTTGTCATGACAATCATTTATTACATTTTCTATTTAGGAATCTGATGATGATTCATTGGATTGGGGTTCTTCGTCAGAAGAAGAAAGTTCTTTATCTAGCGATGATGAAAAATATGCTGGAAATCTTGCTGCAAAGTTTTTGAAAAAGTATTTAATATTTTTCTTATTTTATATTTTAAAATGTTTACTTGAAAATTACAGTGAAATTTTTAATTTTGTTAAAAACTTTAAGTTTAATTATAAAATACAGTTTATATTACATAAAATTTAAAATTTATGTTGTTTGAAAAAGTGAACATTTTCATTTTTACAGAAATTAAATTATGTAGAAATGATAACTCTATAAAAATGAAAATATTATAAGAGTTATAAAACTAGTAATATTTTGTAGATTATTATTATTGACTTTTTTAATTATAATTTAAAAATATAGCATTTATTTTTAGTCTTTTTTTGTATTTTTATCTAATTTAGATCAGCAGATGAGCAAAAAGAAATGAAGAAACGAGAGAAAAAGAGAGATAAAGAAAGAAAAGAAAGAAAACGTGAAGATGATGATGATGATGAAGGTAAATGGGAAGAAGTGAAAGGAGGTGTTCCTTTAATTATGGTATGTTAGTTTTAAAATTTTATTTTTAAAGAATGAGATATTAACAAATATATCTAATTTATAGAACTAAAATTTTTTATCTTATATTCTTTTTAATTCAAATATATTGCCCATAATAATAATAATAATATAAAAAAAATAGGATAACTATTATTATAAAATGTTATTGAAATTAAATCAGTATGAATATAGTATTTAATTAAACATTATATTAAAAAACAATAATTATATAAATAGCATGAAATAATTAAAATTATTCTTCAATGTATCTTTTTTAAATGAAATATTAAAGAAATTATTAGTTTTTTTACATTAAATTTTCAAAAAAAACAATCATTTTCTAATGATTTAAAATTTTACTATACATTGTTTTATACACACATTATATATATGTTACAGACTTTATCTGATTGTTATATTCAGATATCTATTGATCTATAAATAATTTCTAAATAAATAAAATTATAATAAATGCTGAAACTTTTAGTTTCAATTATAACTTCTATTTTTGGTTTTAATATTTATCATCATTTTGTATGTATATCTGAAAATTTTCTGTTGTTTATCTTTCAAAGCAGTCCACTTGAACTTTTCTTTTTCTGTTTTTTCTCCAATTATATATTGAATTATACATTTTATTTTTAAGGGTTTGACTCTAGAATGTCTAGTTTACCTTTTGATATCTTCAAACCAGTTCATATAATATAATATAATATGATATGGAGTATATGGAGTGCTGTTCTATTTATAAAGATGCTTAGGCCATCTAACATGCTGCTGTAATGTAGATGACATATGATTGATTATCTAACATATCTAAATAGATCTTGATAATTATGATTTTGCTTAAAACAATCAATAATACAAAATAAAATTATGAAAAACAGTCCGAGAATATCAGATTTTTTCATAAAATTTTATTGTTAGGATAGTCTGTAGAGTGGCTAGATTACATAGTTGAAACAAAAACTGATTTGCCATTTTAAAGTACAGTTTTCCAGTAATCTATAGAGTAGGCTTTTGTTCTTTCATAAGGACAGACATAATTAACATTAGTTAGAATAATTAGTTTCTTATAAATGATAAATTTCTACAATAATTCAATCTACTACGTATTATTTATATATTAATATATAGGATATTTCTCTAGTATTTTAATAAATTTTTAAAGAATATACAATTTATGATAAAATTTATTATTTTTCTTTAATAATTTTTTTCTACAGGAAAAACCAAAAATGTTTGCAAAAGATGCTGAAATTAATCATCAGGTAGTTTTAAAAAAGCTTACTGAAATTCTTGCTGCTAGAGGGAAAAAAGGAACTGATCGTAGTGAACAAATAGATTTACTTAATGAATTGATGGATACTGTTAAAACTCATGCTCTGGGTCCAGCAATGGAAGTAAAAATCATGTTTGCTATTATTTCTGCTATATATGATTATAATCCAAATATTGCAACTTGTATGAAAATAGAAATGTGGCAGAAGTAAGTTTTCTGAATAAAATAATTTATAATGTATCAAGTAAAAGTAAAAACTTTGTGAGTTCATTTAAAATTTAAACTTTCAGATGTTTGGAATTCATAAATAAATTACTTGACATATTAGTTGCTAATTCTTCAATAAATGTTGGAGAACACATTTCTGAGGATTCTGAAGTGTTTTCATCAGTACCTTATCGTGTGAGAGGATGTATACTTACAATGATTGAAAGAATGGATGAAGAATTTACAAAAATGCTTCAGGTAATTAAACTAAAATATAAGTATTTTATAAGATATATTAAAATTACATATATATAATCTTAAATGCTGTTCATAAATATACAGTATATATATATATATACATACATATTGCTGTATATTTAAGAACAGTATTTAAACTATTATTGTATCATTCAGTACCAAATAAATTACACAAGATAATGATTCTATGCAAATAGTTTAACTGGAAAAATGTATTAGTGCCAAAAATTAAAGAAAAGTAAATAGTACAGTGAGACTAAGAAGAAACTGGGATTGCCTGGCATCTCACAGAAACCAGACAACCTAGCTCTTAACATCTATATTACATGAAATTTTTAAAACATCTGAAAAAAATAGTATCCTCTAACTTTTCAACTTGGAGGACAAGTACTACAAACTTTTTACATTGCATGCCTAATTTTTGAGATAAAAAATGCTGACATATCTCATAGATGCCAAACAACTCCTCATGTACTATAAAAATGGAGGTAAATTACATAAGTGTAATATTTGTGAACATCACTTGTAATGAATGAAATTTGACATAATATCAATTTAAAATAAACATATCTTTACAAAAATACTGTTTTTTTATATTTTTTGCTCTTCCTTCATATCTGGATCAATTTTAATTCATTTAAAATGGACATTATTTGTATGTCCATTTGAAATCAGTATGATAATCATAAACTGCTGTCAAGGGTGAAGTGTTTAAGTTTATTCAAGATGTTTTCAAAGATATCAAGAAGATAACTCATAAACATTTTAAGGACTTGCTTGAAAAATTTTGTAATTTTTAAAGCAGTAGGATGTGTTATAATTTTGTAGTTTATTTGATACTTAGAGGAATTAATCCAGCCATGCCTGAAGAAAAAAGAATTATCCAGATGTGCTTTCTTAATGCATTTTCTTTTCTAAGAATTTTTCTTAGTTTATTATATTTTCTGCTCCTCATTACTGTTGTTGAAATAAATAAGTTAGGAAAGAATCTAATATTTTAAGTGAAAATAGTTTTAAAAATTATGATTACAGACTGTATTAAAAATATGATGTTTGTTTTTTAGGGATGTGATGCACATTCTCCAGAATATGTAGAACGTCTTAAAGATGAAAAAGAAGTTTGCCAAATAATTCAGAGAGTACAGGATTACTTAGAAGAGAGAGGAACACCATCTGAATTGTGCCGTATATATCTACGTCATATAGAACATCTATACTATAAGGTTTGTTACTGTTCTCATTTTAATACAGTAGAATTATTGTAATCAATTTGGAATTTCATACTAATGATGATAACATCTGATAGCATTAACAAAAGCACTGATAGCATTAACAAAAGCAAGAAATAAGACTACATTTAGTGGAAATTCTAGTTTTATTGACTCTTACATTAAATGACATGTTAAAACAGTTTTATTTAAAAGTATAATTTGAATATTATTAATTATAATTATTTCTTAAAAAAACATTTCAAAGAACAATAAAATATTCACTCTATGACAAATAGTTCCACATTTCACAAAGTATACATCTTGCAACAGATCTTTCTTTGAAGGTTACTGGCAAGAGCCAGAGTTTTATTCTTCCAGCAGTAGCCTATAAGGAAAGGTCTGTTGTGAGATGTGTACTTTGTCGAATGTGGAACTTTTCATCGAGTGAATATTTATTGTTTTTTGAAATGTTTTTTAAGAAATAATTATAATTATTAATAATCAAATTATATTTTAAAAAATTGTTTAATTTATTTAATTTTAGAACATAATAAGTATTTAATACTACTCTTATAATGTATTTTTCAGCATTGATTATTTAAAAAAAATTTATTATTTGATTTAATATAATTTTTATAGTTTGATCAAAATGTCTTTAAATGGAAAGAAAGTCGATCGCATAAAGAGGAAAAAGAACAACAACCTGAAAATGCTGTAAATGGAGAAAAAGAATCAGAAGAAGAGAAAAAGGATGATGTACCAGAAGAACCAAACGAAACGAGTTTATTGATTATGGACAGACTTTGTAAATTTATTTATGTTAAAGATAGTACTGATCGAATTCGTACTCAAGCAATGCTTTGTCATATTTATCATCATGCTCTGCATGATAATTGGTTTGAAGCAAGAGATTTAATGTTGATGTCTCATCTGCAAGAAAATATCCAACATTCTGATGTTCCTACTCAGGTAAGTCATTTAAAATTATGAATTTATTCATATTTTTAAGTAGTTGTGAAAGTGTTGAACAAGGATAAACCTTCAAACTATGAAGTTAACAGTAAAACAGTTTTTTAACAATTTTAAACTATTCCCAAATTCATAATTTTTTAACTTAGCACAAAGAAATTTTATGACTTCATGAATTTATAATTTATTTTGAAAAATTTATATTTTTAACTAGTCAGTACAAATTAAAATTAACAAAATTACATTCATTGTTAATAAAAACATTACCAGTGACAATAAAGGGAGGAGGGCAGATTACACCTTAATATTGATTTTATGATTGACGCTGTGATCATGTTTCTACAGCCCTCAATAAAGTCATTTTTCAATTCCACATTGATATAACAAAGATAAATTGTATTTACTATACTGTACATTAGTTAGGTGAATGTCACCAATGTCACTGCAACATAAGTGCAATCCTTAATCTGAAATTGATAAAATGTTTATTCTATAGCTAATGTGAAAATCCAGTGGCTGTTTTTCTATAATTTTTAACAAAAAGGTGTGTTTTAGAAACTCTTCTTTATTTCCGTTAATTTCCCACGGAGTTAAAAAATGGGAGAAGATTGAATGTTAACTTAATTTTCAACAAGTCCTTTCCCCCTCATATTGACTCACAAAAATATTGATAATATGTTAAGACAATCAACTGTTAAAGTGTGAAAAAGTTGACATTTAACTGTCTTTGGGGAGAATCTAAAAACAATTGGGAGAAATAAGAAACCTACTAGTCAATTTTGTTTAGTTTTCATCGTCCAGTGATGACATCTCTGATTTGTCATCACTGCCAAACAAATTATCACCTGACCAAATTTCCATACTGGATGGGGATGTAACGACCAGGAACCCATTAGTTAGGTGGACATACTCAGAAGAAGACAACATAAGTAGTCATGAATTATTCCACCGTAATTGGGCATGGATATACTCAGAAGATGACAGCACAGAATCGTCCACCATAATTGTAGTCTCAAAGGATTACATTTATATTTATTTATGCTTTGTGCAAAGTTCCTCCTCCAGTCCTCTATGGATAATCTACAGTCAAACGACAGACATCACTCTTAAAGAGGTATGATAATTGTCTGATTAATGTAAACCAGGGATGGCCAACATGTAGACCGCGGTCAACCAGTCGACTGCAAAGGCTTTGAAAGTAGCCCGCGAAGCTAAAGTTGAACAATTTGCTTTCAATTAAATTAATGTTTAAAAATCTTAATTTGATAATTTATTCTTACAATAATAGACTGTCTGTGCAACGTACCCATACTGTTTGTATTTATCCCGATGAACAATGCAAATGAATGTTAACACATGCGCATATAAAACTCCTAAAATTGTTTGCCCATATTCATAGTCGCCCATAGACTATATTTTACCAAAAAAGTAGCCCGTAAGGTATAAAAGTTTGGCCACACCTGATGTAAACTCTCTCTCTCTTGGTTGACCTTTAGCTTAGGAACTCATACCATTAAATGAACTCTTATGCTCATATATACATTTTATTTTTTATTAAAGTTATTAGTTTTGTTAACCTGTTAGCCTGACTTTATTCAGTCACCCTATCAACGTACCTATGACTTCCTCACTTGATTTATAGCCCTCCTATTTGATACAACCATCCAGTGATGTGAGCAGATCTTGCCGATCTGTCACTGATCAAAGGGGTTTAGATTTATAATAAAGAAATAAGTTTCTTTAGTAGACAATACATACAAGATGTGTCTTTTATACAATTTGTCCTTTCTCACGCAGATGAGGGATAAGACAATTCCATGGTGGAGTCAACCTTTTATTTGAGGCTTCTCGTCCACTTCCAAATGCAAAACAGTCCAATATTTCCCCCTAGCAGTGGCAGCACAATTAAAATTAATTACATTTTTAAAATTAAGTCAGGACAATTTAATTTGTAGAAAGTTATTTCTTTGTTACAAATTAAATTGTCCACGCTTAATTTTAAAAAAGGGGTTTAGAGTTTGATGCTCTACCTCCCCAGCTTCTCACAGCTAATATTCTACAAAATAAGTAGCCTATACTTTCCATCAGAATAGAAAACAAATATAACCAAAATTTCATCTGGGTTGAACAAAAATTTCAGGGGTTATAAGGAATTCACACACACAAATGCATATACACACAGACGACAGTTTTCATTTTACCAATGCTACTTACAATTTTGCTATTGTAGTTATTTCATTATTATATGATTTTACTTTACCATTGAAATATTATAATTAACTTAAAAAATTGCAGTTATTGCAGTTTATTTTAAATTTATTTATTTTTTTTCTTTGTATGTAATTCTTAAGAATTTATCAGAAAATCTTTTCATTTCCATTTTATTTTTAATAATAATTTTTCTGACGTTTGCAAAAATTTTATAGATGGTGATTACAGTAATGAGTAATTTGATATAGAATAATAATGATTTTTGATGATCAAAGTAGTTGCTATTGAGGTATGATGTGTGGGAGTATAAGAGTAACGAAAAACGTCTTTCAGATTAATTTTTAAGTATTAATGAATTGAAGATAATTCAATAAACAATTGAAAACATTTCTGACAAAATAGTTTATGTAAAATATTTGCAAAANACATTTACTTGAAATGACAATGTCAAAAATCACTTGGATCAGTTTTTTGTAAGCAACGATCAAAACTTTTATGAATGTGAAATCATGCTACTACCAGAAACGATGACAACAGGTATTTGACCAAAGTGGTTGATATATAATTTAATAAAATATTTATTTATTATAAAAATATTGTTTTTTTTTCCACGGAAAAAGATGAACTTACTTTCCGAACAACCCAATAAAACAAAATTGTTTTAATGAATAATTGAAACAATTTTGTTCATGATTAACATTATTAATGTGAAAATTGTGTGATTTTTGTTTTGTTTATTTATCATAATTTAAAATTAAATTATTATTGAGTTTTATAATAAATAATTTATTTCTTTTTTAATTTAAAATTCACTAGTTATAATTATGTTTTTTTTTAAAGAAATTAATGAGATATCCATTAAAATTAATCAAATAACTGTTGTATCTTAAGATTTTAAGATTTTATAAGGGTCGTTCGATAAGTCACAATAACTAGTTTTTATCTCAAAAAGTAGGAAAGATTTTTTTATAAGAAAAAATGCACATGTAAGCCAAATTATATTACAAAATTCTGTAGACAGGGTTTGAAACTGATGCATTCAATAATAATAGCATAATGACATTATTAATTGATGCATCTCTCAAGAAATACCCAAATTTTTGAGTCTGTAATAATTTCATCTCATACAGAATAGCAAAGCTACCTAAAAATTGTTGCTAAACATAGATTAACTGCAAAACTATCATGAGGAACTAGTAGAAGCTGAAGGCAATAATGTACTTTCTTATTGAACAGTTGCATGTTGGTGCAAATACTTTTCAAGCAGAATATATTGAATGATGGATGAACAATGCATTGGGTGTCCATCAACAAATATTAACAGTTTGTCAATTTCAGTTGTTCATTGTCTTAAAATTGACGGGTGATAGATTATGTATTGATTTAACAGCATTATTCATACTATCTACACAATCCATCATATTCTTACTAAAATATTGCACAAAAGAAAAGTCTGTTTTTGGTAATTAACTCATATTTTGATGGATATAGATTTACTGTCAACACAACTTATTATTACTCATTTCTAAAGAATCATTATGTCTGTAATGGTAATATACTGGTCAAAACAGTTATGGAATGAATGAGTGTTGATTATGTGATGTAAGCCAATCATGTGATATCATACTTACTACACATGGCATATGATGTGGACATCAGAGAAATGCATATATGGAAATGAGTACATGAGACAGCAGAATACACAAATGATTCAAATTTTGTATATAAGTGGTGTCATGATCGCCCTTGTTTAACTGCAAATTGTCTTATTGTTAATGATAGTAATTATATTTATTGTTAAGTTTTAAATTTTTACTGAAATTGAAAAAGTAATAATTAAGTCTTTGGTTATTTTTTTATTTTAGATTTTATACAACAGAGCTCTAGTTCAGCTAGGTCTTTGCTCATTTCGTCATGGTAATATTAAAGATGCACATAATGCATTATTGGACATTCAAAGTGGTGGAAGAGCAAAAGAATTATTGGCACAGGTAGATATTTCATCTGAAATCTGAATTATTATAAATGAAAATGAATTTTTTATTTATAAATATTTTCATAAAATAAAATTTCTTTAAACAAATTACTTTTATAAAGAAACAATTTATTTTAAGAAGCTTATTTTAGGAAAAAATATTTTTATCACCTTTATGAAAAAAGTTAATAAAATTTTTAAATATGTTTATAAAGCATTAAATATTTAAAATTGTTTGTAATTAAAATGTTTCTTTGTTTGTTATAGGGTCTTTTGCCTCAACGACAACATGAACGAACAACAGAACAAGAGAAGATAGAGAAAAGAAGACAAGTGCCATTTCATAAGCATATAAATTTAGAATTATTAGAATGTGTTTATTTGGTTTCAGCAATGTTATTGGAAATTCCATATATGTCAGGTAATATTTATTATATAACTACAAAAGTAAAGTCTACAGTGTAGAATTTTGATTCATATAAAAATAATTTTATAAGCAAAAATCTTGTTTTGAGCTTTAAAGTTTATTTGACTTGAAAAATTTCATTCTAAAATAAACAAAAATATTGTTTATTAAATAAAATTATCATTTAAAATATCTCTTACTTCTTTTAAAAATCAATTTTAAGGTGTTATTTGTTATAGCCATTTTATTGTTTTGCAAGTAGTTTAAAATATATAGGCATATATTTAAACTTTTTAAAACTGATAAACAATTAAATTTCAATATAAAAAATAAAATTTATCTAATATACATTATTTAAAAAAATATTTGAAATTAAATATGTATGATTAATGTTTTCATTTACTGCTTTTATTGCAAAATTTGTTTTAAATTATAATGTATTGAATATAAATGAATTCAAATTCTATATACATATTTTTTAAAGAAAAATTTATTTTATAATTATGCGTTATTTCTAAACATTTAAACTCATTTAGCTCATGAATTAGATGGACGTAAAAGAATGATTAGCAAATCTTTTCATCACCAGCTTCGAAACAGTGAACGCCAACCTCTTGTTGGTAAGTTAATAATTTATTTGTGATTAACAAAATATTTTAAGATAATGTAAGTTAGTACATATTTTATATTAGGTTGTTCGGAAAGTAAGTTCATTTTTTTTTACCACTCAATGGAATAATCATATTTTTCCTGCTATTTTCATTCTAAACTGTGTTATCTATATATATTTTGACAGCTAGCATTTTAAGGCTTATTTGTAAAAAATTTTGTTTGATTTTGTGCAATTGTTTATTTTTGTATCCCATCAAACATGGAAGATCAAAAGCATTATTTTCGGCATATTTTGCTTTTTTATTACCAAAAAATCAAAATGCTGTTCAAACAAGGAAAAAATTGGGGTACATGTATGGAGATGATGTGTTGACAGAATGACAGTGCCAAAACTGGTTTACAAAATTTCGTTTTGGCAATTTCAATATTGAAGATGCACCACATTCTGGATGGCCAGTTGAAGCCAATGAAAACAAAATAAAGGCACTGATTGAAGCAAACTGCTGAATAACAACACATGAAATCACTGAGAGATTAAATTTGTCAAATTGAACTGTTTATGATTACTTGAAACAAATTGGTTTTGTTTCAAAGCTCGATATATGGGTTCCACATGTTCTTAAAGAGAGATGCTCTCTTTGGTGAGATTTTAAGGAAATTTTTTTTGGAGCTTTTACCAGACAATTTAACAATTGATTTGAAAGTTTACTGCTATCAAGTAAACAAATTGAGTAATATCATCAAACAGAAAAGGCAGCCAGAATTGATCAACAAAACAGGTGTAGTGTTTTACCACGATAACGTCAAATTTCATACAAGTTTGGTAACTCATCAGAAACTGTTATAACTTAGATGGGACATGCTATCACACCAACCATATTTGCCAGATCGAGCACACTCGGATTATTACTTGTTCCAGTCTATACAAATTCTTTTTTAACTGTAAGACATTTACTTGAAATGACAATGTCAAAAATCACTTGGATCAGTTTTTNTAACAGTTTGTCAATTTCAGTTGTTCATTGTCTTAAAATTGACGGGTGATAGATTATGTATTGATTTAACAGCATTATTCATACTATCTACACAATCCATCATATTCTTACTAAAATATTGCACAAAAGAAAAGTCTGTTTTTGGTAATTAACTCATATTTTGATGGATATAGATTTACTGTCAACACAACTTATTATTACTCATTTCTAAAGAATCATTATGTCTGTAATGGTAATATACTGGTCAAAACAGTTATGGAATGAATGAGTGTTGATTATGTGATGTAAGCCAATCATGTGATATCATACTTACTACACATGGCATATGATGTGGACATCAGAGAAATGCATATATGGAAATGAGTACATGAGACAGCAGAATACACAAATGATTCAAATTTTGTATATAAGTGGTGTCATGATCGCCCTTGTTTAACTGCAAATTGTCTTTACCAGTAAAAATCTGTTGGTTTTATGTAGTAGCTGATTTCACCATGTTTTGCCACCATGATTAACCTGAATTAACATAATTGAGAGTGATTTGAAGGCTGGAAGCTGCCCATGCACAGAGGGTGGTAGTAGAAGCCACGGGAGTGCTGCAAAATGTCATTTTCTAACTGGATCTGCTTCCAGCATACAGGAAATACTTGTAGATGAAAAGATTAAGGATGTCTAAGAACAACAACAGGAAGGGACAAATGTTAATCACTGTTAAATCCGTATCAAAACTGGTGACAGAATGCTACAGAACTCATACTGTAGCTTCATGTGGCAACAGGATGGAGGGTATCAGGTCAAACCATTAAAAATCATCTTTGCTAAGGTGGCCTTTATGCATGTAGGCCAGTGATTTGTGTTCCCTTAATCACATGACATATGGTCTGCAGAAACTGGACAGAGGATCATTGTGATTGGGGACACAATGGAGTCCAGATTCATTCTGTAGTCAGACAGTCAAAAGTTCTCATCTGAAGAAAACAAAGTACAAGAATTGGTCATCATTTGTGAAGAAAACATCACAGTATGGCAGAGTTAGATTGATGGTTTGGGCTGTGATAAGCATCAGCATGCATATAGACCTACATATCATCAGAAATGATAGTCTGATGGGACACAGGTATAGAGAGAAGATTCTGCACCCAATTGTCATGCCATATATTGGAGATATTTGAGTTGTTCTTGCTGGTAACACCAACCTCATTGATCTTGGCTAATGAATGACATACTTCAGTTCACTAGTTATAATTATGTTTTTTTTTAAAGAAATTAATGAGATATCCATTAAAATTAATCAAATAACTGTTGTATCTTAAGATTTTAAGATTTTATAAGGGTCGTTCGATAAGTCACAATAACTAGTTTTTATCTCAAAAAGTAGGAAAGATTTTTTTATAAGAAAAAATGCACATGTAAGCCAAATTATATTACAAAATTCTGTAGACAGGGTTTGAAACTGATGCATTCAATAATAATAGCATAATGACATTATTAATTGATGCATCTCTCAAGAAATACCCAAATTTTTGAGTCTGTAATAATTTCATCTCATACAGAATAGCAAAGCTACCTAAAAATTGTTGCTAAACATAGATTAACTGCAAAACTATCATGAGGAACTAGTAGAAGCTGAAGGCAATAATGTACTTTCTTATTGAACAGTTGCATGTTGGTGCAAATACTTTTCAAGCAGAATATATTGAATGATGGATGAACAATGCATTGGGTGTCCATCAACAAATATTAACAGTTTGTCAATTTCAGTTGTTCATTGTCTTAAAATTGACGGGTGATAGATTATGTATTGATTTAACAGCATTATTCATACTATCTACACAATCCATCATATTCTTACTAAAATATTGCACAAAAGAAAAGTCTGTTTTTGGTAATTAACTCATATTTTGATGGATATAGATTTACTGTCAACACAACTTATTATTACTCATTTCTAAAGAATCATTATGTCTGTAATGGTAATATACTGGTCAAAACAGTTATGGAATGAATGAGTGTTGATTATGTGATGTAAGCCAATCATGTGATATCATACTTACTACACATGGCATATGATGTGGACATCAGAGAAATGCATATATGGAAATGAGTACATGAGACAGCAGAATACACAAATGATTCAAATTTTGTATATAAGTGGTGTCATGATCGCCCTTGTTTAACTGCAAATTGTCTTTACCAGTAAAAATCTGTTGGTTTTATGTAGTAGCTGATTTCACCATGTTTTGCCACCATGATTAACCTGAATTAACATAATTGAGAGTGATTTGAAGGCTGGAAGCTGCCCATGCACAGAGGGTGGTAGTAGAAGCCACGGGAGTGCTGCAAAATGTCATTTTCTAACTGGATCTGCTTCCAGCATACAGGAAATACTTGTAGATGAAAAGATTAAGGATGTCTAAGAACAACAACAGGAAGGGACAAATGTTAATCACTGTTAAATCCGTATCAAAACTGGTGACAGAATGCTACAGAACTCATACTGTAGCTTCATGTGGCAACAGGATGGAGGGTATCAGGTCAAACCATTAAAAATCATCTTTGCTAAGGTGGCCTTTATGCATGTAGGCCAGTGATTTGTGTTCCCTTAATCACATGACATATGGTCTGCAGAAACTGGACAGAGGATCATTGTGATTGGGGACACAATGGAGTCCAGATTCATTCTGTAGTCAGACAGTCAAAAGTTCTCATCTGAAGAAAACAAAGTACAAGAATTGGTCATCATTTGTGAAGAAAACATCACAGTATGGCAGAGTTAGATTGATGGTTTGGGCTGTGATAAGCATCAGCATGCATATAGACCTACATATCATCAGAAATGATAGTCTGATGGGACACAGGTATAGAGAGAAGATTCTGCACCCAATTGTCATGCCATATATTGGAGATATTTGAGTTGTTCTTGCTGGTAACACCAACCTCATTGATCTTGGCTAATGAATGACATACTTCAGAAGCGGGAATTGATGTATGGAGTAGTTGGCATGCTCTCAGGACTTAAATCCTGTTGAGAATGTCTGGGATGTCCTTGGTTAAATGAAGACCTATTTTGACATTGAACTGGTGACAGCCCTTCATGCAAATTGGAAACAACTCTCTCAATTTCTTGTTGACAGCTTAATTGAGTCAATGCCGCAGGTTTGCTGCAGTTTTAGTTGTTTGAAAGGACAACACACTTTACTAGAGCTCTCTATCACCCCAAATATTTATGTTACTCTTGTATGGAACCACATCTTCTTGTATGACATCCCATAACATGTGCACTAAATGCTAAATTTGCATATCAGTGTTGTTAATGTGTTGTTTATTATATGCATGCATCATTAAAAGACTATTTTCTATTTCAGGTCATAAGTCACATGTATGTTCTTCAAAATATCACATAATTCCCTAATTGTTTTGATCAGTGTATTTGTATATTAACATTATTATGCATTTTTTTGTGGTATTGACTATTGTCATCATTTATGAGTTATTGAATTGAACATGTAATTGTAAAACAAAAGTACAAAAATAAAGTACACATATCAAAATATACTGATAATACAACCTCTAAACAGTCATTTTGAAATTATAACCAGTGAGAGCAATGTGCATTGAAATTTTTGAGTTTGTAATGTCTAACAATATGGTTGTTAATTAATAAAACTGTTCTATGTTTTACACTTAATAGATGACAAGAAAGTACTTTGTAGTTGCAAGTAAAAAACAAAAAAATATTTTGATAAATTTTAGAAAAAATCTAAAACATCAGAAATTGTAATACTTGTTCTTTATGTTTAATTTAGTATTAAGACTTCATTTTTGTTCCAATTAGAAGTTCAGACTATTTACAAATATAATTTTTGAGTCTATCTATTAATCCATTAATACATTTTTGAATGAATGTATAAGTTTAAGTTATATTAGAATGCTAAATGGTATAAACTTATACAAATTGCATTTTTAAATTTTCAAAATTTTGAATAAATATTTACCAGTATATTTTTTTGAGAATAACTTTAGAGATCCAAAATAAATAAATTATATTCGATTATTTTTAATTGAAATTTTAAATTATTTTAATAATTTATCATTGATTATTTTTTGGAAATTCTGTATCGTCTTTACTTGATTTACTAATTACAAGAATAATATTTTGCAGGCCCTCCGGAAAGTATGCGAGAACATGTAGTTGCTGCCTCAAAAGCTATGAGGATTGGTAACTGGAGACAATGTAAAAACTATATTATAAATGAAAAAATGAATGCAAAGGTATATAAAATTTGAATTATTCCAAATTGTTAAAAATTTATTATTATTTATGATATGATTGACTACAGTTATACATATTAGAAAAAGTAAAAGAAATTTTATGAAGACAGTAAGAAACTGTAGATTATTAGTAAAATTAATATTTTAATTAATTTATTATATGTAAATGTAATGAATCAACAAATCATTGTTATTGTTATTTATTAAATTATTACTTACAAAAACGTTTTGCAACATGATTTGAAAGAAATACTAATTCAGAAAAAGATAAAAGAATTTTATTGAAAAAAATGTATATAAAACTACATATATATTTATTATTGTACTTCATAGATAAGGAAAGGAATGTTTAAATATATCTAAGTATATACTGTATATGGCAGAGTCAAAAATAAACTAAACTTTTAATATAATTGTTATTGTGTTAATGGTATATGTATTTACAGAATATCACCTTTAAAGTAAATACCTTCTGCAACTACACACTTTTGCCAACTTTTCTACCACTTATTAAAACAGTCCAGTAGCTCATTTTACATTTGCTTCTTGAGTACAATCAGTGCAGTACTTTGCACTGTTGCTGATTTTAATTTATGATATTTTTATAGTTTTTTATTTTGGTGCATATATGAAAGCTATTTATTTATCAGAGATAAAGCTGTCTTTGTCTTACTATATCATAGAGGTAGCTGAGAGTATCAACATAACTTTTGTTTAACAGATTTGTTTTGTCAAGAACAACAAACTTATAATGCAGAATGGGCTAGAAGATTGTTTAATAATTGGTATGAATGTTGACAGATGTGTATAGCTGCAGATGGTAATTATTTTAAAAGTGGTTTTCTATAAATACTTGTACTATTAAACTTAGTTATCAGTTTATTATCTAAGGTTCATTTATTTTTTCATGTTTAAGAATTTAAAAAAAGAAATTAAGAAGTGACTTTTGAAGTACACACAATATTTGCATCATTTCGCAGACTTAAACTAGTAATTAGATTATTAATCATGGTTCATCAAAGGCTTCTTGTTTTTATGTTTATTTGTATTAAGTATAATTATTTCTGTGTATTTGCTATAATAACAATTCAGTTAAAATATTTATTATAATGTAATCATTAAATTAGAATATTTTAAAATATTATATTAAAAAGTTAATAATTAATAAGAGTTTTCATTAAATTTTTGAAATTTTAGGTGTGGGATCTGTTCTATCAAGCAGATAAAGTTAGAGACATGATATCTCAGAAAATCCAAGAAGAATCATTAAGAACATATCTTTTCACATACAGTCATGTTTATGATTCTATTTCCATGAATATATTATCTGAAATGTTTGAATTAGATAAATCTGTTGTACATAGTATTATTAGTAAAATGATCATAAATGAAGAACTTATGGTAAGATCTTATTGATATAATAAATTAGTTATTTTAATTTTTAGAATATAATCATTCAAAATTTATAATGTGATTATTAGAATTTAAATCTTGGAATAAATATAATATAGTTTTTAGCTAAATCTTGAAATTATGTTCTGCTAACTTATAACTTATGGATTAATTATTTGAAATTTGGACCAAGATTAGTCCAAAGGAGGATTTGAACATATAATTTCTGCTTACTGTGCAAATGCATTGCCAGCTGTGCTATGTAGACCTTCATCCAGAATATCTTAAATTAAGATTATTTAACACCAGTAGGTGGTTAAGCTACCTACTAGTAAATTGCTTAATATCATATTAATTAATTATACTTATTGTAGCCCAATAAGAATCCAATTGTTTGATTAGTAACTTTTATCAGTGTGATTGTATGTGCATTTAATGAAATATAAAGATAAATTTATTTTGATTATAGGAATATTTATATACATACTCACATATGTATAAATGCAAAGTATATTTTGAAGAAATAAAAACTACAAAGTATTGAGAAAATTATTTTCTCAAAACATTCAAGAGACTTTGTTAATCATTCTTTTTAAGTTGTTTAGAAATAGACGACATTACTAAAATTCCAATTCCAAATTTCAACATATGTATTTGTAATTATTTTAGCTACTTTACGATGATTAAGATTAGAAATGTGTAATCACTTCTGTTCTCTTGTTTATCATTTTGGAACAGTAAAATTTACTTATATTTACTTATAAATGAAATTTTAGTAAATTTTTTCTATTTAAGTATGTAATTAACAACTTTAAATCTCACAACAATGGATTGGGTTATAATATTAATTAATCCATAAATACTGTGTAAATTTAGAAAACTAAATAATGTATTTGATTCCCAATGTAAACAGCCACATTTCTTCTGAATGACAAGGACTAAGCAGCAAGAATATCATCCAATATATTGAATGATATTCTTGCCTAGTTAGTCCTTACATTGGAAATCAAAAAATATGTTATTTAGTTTTTCTAAATTTACAAATTATTTCTGGATTAATTAAATTAATAACATTGTTTAACATTGTTTAATAACATTAATTAAATTAATAACATAATAATCACAGTCAGTTGTAAAAGCTAAAATTGATCTAAATAATGACTGAAAATTTTTAATGATTTCTATCATAAATTTATTACTAAAGCTATTTAAAAAGAATTATTGAAATAGGAAGAAACAATTTCACTTGAAAATAATAAATTCTTACAAATTGAAAACTTCGTAATAACATAATTAATGTATGTAGTACATCATAATAAATGAAATTTTAGTATTTATTGCATTAAAATTTTTGATAGGCTTCATTGGATGAACCAACTCAGACAGTAGTTATGCATCGTACTGAACCTTCCCGCATTCAAGCTCTTTCTTTACAATTGGCTGATAAAGTAACTAATTTGATTGATCAAAATGAAAGACTTGCTGAAGTAAAACAAGGATCATTCTTTGGACGAAGCATGGGTAAAATATTTTAATTTGTTGTAACTTTTATTCACTTAAATTAAATTATAATTTTACAATAAATTAAATCAAAAGAATATTTGTACTATTGATTTTGAATATAAAGCTTCATATTCAAATGTTAATTAAATAACTTTGAATAATTTTGTAAAGTTATTAAAGGAAAAAATAAGGTATTAAAAGTAGTTTGATAATACATACATTAAACAATTATGCTGGTATTTTAACATTATATTATAATGTTTCTAGTTTATTTTTTTGTTTTAGTTTACTGTTTTTTTTTATTTTATAGGCCAGCAATCAGGCTTCAGGGATTCAAGTTATCAGAAAAATGTATATAATCAGCAAGGAAATTTTAGAGAAGTTAATTATCAAAAAGGAACTTACAGTCAATCTTCTAACTTTAGAGACAGCAGTTATCAGAAAACAGCTTATGGAGCAGATAGATGGGGTATGGATATTTATTAATTATCATGAGTAAGTTTATAGCTGTAAATATATTCATTTATGCTGAAATTCTTTTTTATTACTTATTTGTAAGAAAAAAGGCATTTTGAAAAATCAAAACACCTTAATTTTAATATAAGAATTTATATTTGAAATATTAGTTCTTATATTAAAATTATATTTATTATAACAATTTAATACATTTTATCATGAGCAGTTTAATATACAAAATCCATGTGCAGCCAAGTAAAAATATTTTTTTACCAGTATTTTCATAAAGTATTTTATGCTCTACATCAAAATGCCTTAGATTTTTTTCAATATTAAAAGATTTGAGAAAATAAGAGTATAAAGATTCTTATTTTGAAAATATTCAATAATTAAAAAAAAAAAATTCAATCTTGTACCATAAAAGTTAATATGTATTAATTGATCTTCATAAAAAAGAATTTTGTATGTTTTAAATGAAATATGTTCATGCTATGAAACAATAATTTTGTTTCTTATTGGATTACATAAGGGAAAAAAAAACTTGGAATGTGTATATAGGTGTTCTAAACTCTATAAACAACCTCTGACAAAAAGTATTCAATACTTTTTGCCATTAAATTTAGTTGCCATAAAAACTTCTGAAATTGAGATAAACAAAAATAAATAAATATTAATGACAAAATGCAATTACCTTTATTACACCACTGTATTTAATATAAAGCTTTTAAACAATATGAAACAAAAATTAATTCAAGTTGAATTTACTTCATAGCAGAAAACAGTATGCGATTTAAAAAAACAATGGAAAAATGTTTGTGGATTTTGATGGTTGATATTTTATGGATCCTTCCTTTAGCTTTGATAATGGCCTTAATTCATCTTGAAAGTGAAGAAATCAGCTTATTACATGGTTTCAGAATAATTTCCTTCAACTGTCTTTAATAGCTTGTATCAGTGATTTCTTATAGTTGGATTTTTTTTATTAACACACTTATTAATAATTCCTACCAAATATTTTTGATAGGTTTAAGTCAGGGCTTTGTGGGGATCATTATAATACTGAAATGTTTTTCTACCTCAGAAAAGTTTAATGTATTGTGCTTGATGGCAGGGATCATTATCATCTTGAAACAAAATTTGTCTGAATTTCTGAAGTGAATGAATCAAAAAATGTCCCAAAGATGCCATGGATCTGTAAATGTTGCAGTGTCACTACAGCATTTACAGACCTATGTACAGTATTATACACAATTTTCCTGGTCCTGCAGTTGAAATACAAGCCTGTCTTGTTAAATGTGGAAATTTGATTGTTGAACCTAAACAATCTGCATTGAATTTTTTACATCTGTGTCAAACAAATAAACCATCATCATTGCCTTCTCCCCAACTTTATGATTTTTGACATATTTTCACTAATTGTTTATCCTTCTTTATTATTGTTCTTCTTTATTATTGTTCATAACATGGGTGATTTTTTTTTTTATTTTGCTGTTCCTCTCAGTTTCTATTTCTTCCAAACATTTGTTACTGCTTCTTCATACAATTCATGTTCAGGAATCATTTTTATTCATTACAATGTGCAAACTTATATAAATGATCCAATGCAAATGCACTTACACCAAGATCATTTAATTGCACACATCTCTTTTCTGTCAAATAAGATTTATATTAATATCTATCAAAAATCACAAACTTTTTTCCTTTGCTTGATTGAATCGTGTACTTTTTCTAAGGGCATGGAACTACAATATGAAATATATTTTTTTTAATGCCACCTTTGTAGGTGGCATTAAAAAAATGTTGGTCAGTGATAGTTGTTTACTAAAGATAATTGTATTTTATTTTGGCTTTAGTATATATTTATTTTTGTTTATTTTAATTTCATATAGTTTTTCCAACACTACCTAAAAAGTTGATGTCAATGGTAGTTGTTTACTAAAGGTAATTGTGTTTAATTTTGGCTTTAGTATATATTTATTTTTGTTTATCTTAATTTCAGAAGAGATTTTTAAGGCAACTAAATTTAATGGCAAAAGTATTGAATACTTTTTGCTAGGGATTGTATATACCAGGGGTGGCCAACTTTTATTTACAGAAGATCTACTTTTTATCTTAAAAATGTGCCGCGATCGACTTGTTGTCGTAGGGTTAGTCTAAGTGACGAGGGGGTGGTGTGAAATACATACTATGTTTAGATAGGTAAGAAAAGTCACAATTTAATTTAAAACATGAAGAAAAGGTACTTACATTGTAAACAGAATAAAAATTGAAACTCAACGTTGTCACTTTTGGGGACCACCACTTCACCCTTCCTCTTTCTCTTTCTACCGTGTCCCGACTACTCCCTCTGTCCCTCTTCCCACCTTTTTTTTTTGTTTTACGATCCTTTGTCTACATTTCTTATTTCCCTTTTACAACTGTACGCAAATGAATATCACATGGACCGACAAAACCGCATCTGAGGGAAGACGCGCTGGTCCAATATCACTACATTTGCGTTTGCGCGTTACGTTTGATTACAAGTGTAACACATTAATTCAAGACATCACGAGCGATCGACCAAAATTGGCTTCACGATCGACTTGTTGGCCACCCCTGGTATATACAATTCAATGACCCAGTATTTTTAGAAAATCTACTTATTATGGGATCTCTCTCTCTCTCTCTCTGTGAAGAGATGCATGTTCACTGAATTTAAATGTAGTCTATGTCAATCACATGATAAACAAGAGATCTTCACATACATAAAAACGTTGTTTTCAAAAGAAAAATTCAAAAGCTAGTCTCCTATCTCCTCCTCCATCTAGCAATCTTACTGTTATCCATAAAAATAGGTTAAAAACTCTCACAAACATGGTCCAAGTTGTCAGATCTCCTGAAAACTGACTGGTATCAGTCATCCTGGCATTATACAATAGGCTCATCCACTACAGTATATTAATCTCACACTACATTCAATCATATGTGTATATATATATGCACAATGAAAGTTCCAGCATAAATAAGTGTATATATATATATATATATAAGTGGTCATTTAATACAGGTAACTTATATGAAGACTCTATGGCTAAACTATTCGGTGCCAGAAAGTTTTGCCCGAAGTGTATATATATATATGTTGCAGTCAAAACCCATTTTTAGTTAGAATGTGTTTTAACTAGTTAAAACGCATCCTAACTAAAAACTGGTTTTGACTGCAACATATAGAGTGATTCGGGGTAAGATGGTAAGTGGGGGAAGTTGCCTAATTTTTGATATTTTCAAACGGTGACTTCACATATTGTCATGTATTTGTATGATGAATCGTTGGGCCAATATCGAGTGCGGAAAGCTGTAGTTGGCTACCATNGGTGATTTTTTTTTTTATTTTGCTGTTCCTCTCAGTTTCTATTTCTTCCAAACATTTGTTACTGCTTCTTCATACAATTCATGTTCAGGAATCATTTTTATTCATTACAATGTGCAAACTTATATAAATGATCCAATGCAAATGCACTTACACCAAGATCATTTAATTGCACACATCTCTTTTCTGTCAAATAAGATTTATATTAATATCTATCAAAAATCACAAACTTTTTTCCTTTGCTTGATTGAATCGTGTACTTTTTCTAAGGGCATGGAACTACAATATGAAATATATTTTTTTTAATGCCACCTTTGTAGGTGGCATTAAAAAAATGTTGGTCAGTGATAGTTGTTTACTAAAGATAATTGTATTTTATTTTGGCTTTAGTATATATTTATTTTTGTTTATTTTAATTTCAGATGTTTTTATGAACACTAAATTTAATGGCAAAATGTATTGAATACTTTTTTCCAGGAGTTGTATAAATTTTGATTGTTAAAATTAAGAAAATAAAGACAAGTTATTAATTTAATATTTTTCTAATTGGAATAAACGTTTTAAATTAAAATTTAAATTATAAAATTATTAAAATTAAAGGAATATAAAGACAGAGTATTAACAATTGAAGTGTGTGTATATTTTTTGGGATTACTATCAGAAATAAGATATTTTTCTCTTAAAGTATAATTGCATGTGAGAAACAATAGTTAATCAGCTCTTTATAATTGTCATTAATAATAGCCAATATCGTATCTATCTATATATATAATAATAATAATAATAAGCGCAGAGCCCAAACGGTTAGGAGTTGGAAGTTGAAATTTGGTACACAGTTAGGGTACGAGAATGCACACTAAGAAGGGATTTTTCGAAATCCCTCCCCACGGGGGAGAGGGACAGGATTAAGGCTTAACACTTCCATCAACAATAGAAGTGTTACTTGTTAAGAGAAAGCGATGTGCAAGACGCAGATGCAGTTTTTTTTTTTCATTTTTGTGAGAAATCAAACATATTTTTCGACTCATCTAAAAATTCTCTAATTAGTCTGGAAACAGGGGGACCCAATTCTTGCATTCTGTGAAAATGGGTAATGTTGACTATATTGTAATCATCTTACAAGGAGAGCCTACGGCTTTGGGGTAACGGATTTTGATGATCTTTGGTGTAGAGGTAGTACACGATGTGAATGTACTACCTGTAAAATACTAAAGTGCAATACTCAAATATATTCGAGAAAATTGAACTTAAAGTTTTGTTAGCACTTTATATATAAATTATACATGCTTCTATTCGAGTGTCCTGTGGCAGAGTGGTAACGAGTTTGATTCATAAGCTTGAGTTCTTGGGTTCGATTCTCGCGTATAATTTTTTTTTTTAATTCATAAATACTTATAATGTATTTATTTATTTACTCATTCATTTATTTCTTATTATTTATTTATTTTAATTTAATTTCTACTATTCCAAGTCTAATATTTTTATACTTTTGTTGACAATAACGGCGCATTCTTGACACCTATGTGTCAACTTTCCCATCTAATTGTTATCACTAACGGTGACCGATCTAATTCTCACTAGGAGCGTTTTTTCTATCGGAGTTCTTTTTCACTCACTCTTTAACAGTTCGTTTCTAAATTTCGACACGAATAGACGTATTTGTGTAGTAAAACTTATTTTGAAAAATTATTTTATAAT